AATACTCAACGATTCAGAGAAACTATATAATTGATAGGGTTAATTTTAGTTTTCGATTTTCTAAAATAACAGTTTGGGTTGTAGCTCCCCCACCCACCATCAATTTCAAACACATGTTTTAGAAATGCCTGCCACACAGTGTGACCTTCCTATTGATTCCATTGTATTCCAATTTTTAAATTATGCCTCCGATAAAACTCTTTCCTTTTAAGCAACAGAAAGCTGCCTTGTATTAAATCAGGAAGAGAGCAAACACACAGCTGGATGAGGTATTGCAACAGATTGCATGCACTTATAAGAACAATCCAAATGATTATATTTCATATAATTTCCTTCTTACAGCTTTCTATTGAATATATGACAAAATACCTACCCAAGAAGTATCTGGTTAACACAGTAAGTTTATTTTCTAGACTGACATTTACTTTGAATCTGGGCCAGTGTGTGACTTAAGCCACAGGTACCTGATGAACTATTATTTTCAGATTGATTATAGATGCTGAGCTCAACCTGAGTGCCATTTCTAGTAATCTACTTTTAGTGATGGAATAATTTATCAGCATAGTAGAAAGCCCAAAATAAAAATGATAAAGACAAAAGTGCTTTGTGGAACAATGCAGTTAATTAGCAGTGCTCGGATTTCTAACATTGGTTTATACAGCAGTTGTCCATACACTGAACTCAAGGAGGTAAAGGCAGAATGTTGAGGAGATAAAAAGCAAGATTGGGTAATCTATATACTGTGGAAAAGTCAGTTTGGAATTAAGTATTTGCACTGTCTCTTAGTGACTGCAGGCAATTCTCTTCTCTGTCTACAAATTGATATTATTGCTTTCCTATGAATGTCATTTAAAATAATGTCATGATGGCAAATGCTAAAATGGAGGTGATCCAAAAACTTTAACAGAAATCCCTACCCCAGGGAGCACACATACACATTGCTCAACACTGTGAAGTTTTTCCAATAAAGATATTTGAGCATTGTGAAGTTGCAACTAAACTACTGGTTCTTTCTCAAGTCATGATTTAGGCAATGTATAATTGTAATAATTCATTCATAATATATAGGCACATTAACATAAATATTGCACAAAATATGACTTTAAATTAAAGTGAGAGGTATAAAAGCATGTTTCATTTTCTTAAAGAACTCTATGAGGAATAAGACTTCTGACTTTATATACACTTATCTGATATTTCATAAATAGTAGATTGCACTGCAATTTGTAAACATTTTAAATTGCATAAACTGCTCATTGATTTTCAAATATGGTTTAATACTGCATTAAAATTCCTTTTCATTTCAGCTAAGTGCTCTCATATATATTATTTTATAATAATGTCTATTGTGTTTAGAGTGCTTTCCATTTGAGGGAAGAGGTAAAATCCTATGTCAAAACAGCCAATGTGGGAGAAGAATATTAGCCAGAAAGTGTGGATAGCAATGTCAATATGGGCAGAGAGGAATGCCAGCTCTCATGTGCTCTCCCCTTACCACTATGGGTCCTTGGCTAGAGTCTGCATACCTGCTTCAGGTATGGCACAAACCCTTCAAGGGTTCTTTATGAATTTTACTAAATGTATTATGAATGCCAGCAGTCATTTTGTATACTAGGGTGAGTCATCATCTGACTACAAGAGATAACATAAATTCTACTTCAGAATATATTATAGATATAAGTGCTCTAAGTCAGGGGAGGTTTCTCACTCCAGTCAATGATGGACACGTTTCATTCCTGAAAGCAATCTAATTGTCATCAGTAAAGCAGTAAAGGTGTGCTGGAGCACCTAAGACCCTAAAGGGGCTGCCTGAGCCCCGTGCTCATCCTCGGGCAGTGGAGACAGACTAGATAGACATTACTCTGCGCACACACTGGCCAAAGCATACCACTCTCACCTTCTGTGAGACAAGGGAAGTTCCTCCAATGTTATTGCTCCTAATCAGATCACACAGAAACATAGAAAAGCCTATTTCCACTCTCAGCCTTCAAACAAACCTAACTATTGGTACACATAATGGCATATTAGAAAATAATAAATAGTACTTATTTGAGGACAAATCACAGACTGAGCCAATTATGGGCTCTTGTGATTAGGATTAGATCAAATATAATCGCAGAACATAAGCAAACATCACCTGAATTCTATAATGAATATACAATTGCAGTAGCATTGGAAAAGCAAGGCAGCCCATTCCAAACTAGACAGAACAGTTTGTGCAAATAGTGGGTCTTTGTGTGTTTGTACTCCCACCATATAAGGGCAAACTGAATATGCATGCTAATGACCTACAATTGCCAAATTAAAAAGGAAGAAAAATGCTAAAGGATGCCAGAGTGAACAGCAGGGAAAGCCACACAAAGACCCACTATCCTTGAAATTGTTACAAATAAATTTTAACCGTAAATTAGAAACACAAAGAAATAGTCACAAGTGGCTCTAACATTCAAACGAAGTAAACGAATTGTGTAGGAGATATTTGATCAGGGCTGCCTGCCCTGCCTTCACGCTAGAGTCAAACTTGGATAGTGGGTCTCTGGGGTGCTTTCACAACTGGAAGACAACATTGAGTCCTAAAAAAAGAAAAATGAGGAATAAAATGAACATAATGTAAATTAGGTGGGTGAGAAAAAAATCTGACTAATAGTCACAAGCAACATCAACTAAATAAATTTGAACCACTAAAATCCTCAACCTTAAAACGTCCCAATTGTAAAATAAAATGAAAACTGTGTTTACAAGGGCTAGAGAAACCCAAATGGTAATCTACAGTTTAACCAGCACCAATGCCTCCAAGACTATTAATAACTGATTCACGTCTCAATGTCTGAGTAGCTACAGTAAATTCTCAAGTGAACTCCTGACTTTAAGCGTGGAGCATTTCTAGAACATGTCCTAAGGAAACTAACTGTAGGCTTACATCAACTTACATATAATGACATCATAGCTACCGAAGAAATGAATTATGGTCACTGCTGAAAAGGAATTATGACTCTCAAGTTGCTAATAAACAGCTATTTTGAGCAAATCTAACAGACACTCCACAGTTTACTAGGTGGGTTAAACAGTTGTTTTATGGGAAACAAACTTTTCAGAGGATCTATTTGAAAACTGTTCCCTGACAGCTCTTTATTTCAAGTTAGGTGACAAACCGGTGCCATTCGTTTAGGAAAAAGGCATTATTTTTAGACGTATCTGAACCACAAAACCCCAGATATTTTAGCTCAAAGCAGGGCAGTAGTAGATAAGCTATAGAGTTACTTTATAATAAAGAACACTGAAACTATCCTCTCTTGATGCAGCTCCTTCACTGTTCTATGCTCTCATTTCTAAACAGGTAAGACAATCAAGAAAGGAACTGGCACCTCCTCCCATCCCCATTTGCCTTTCTACCAAACTGTAACTCCTTCTCTTCTCGGTTCCAGTCAAATGTTCTCTGAGAAGCCTGCAATGGCCTGCCTTCTTTCCCACACAGACTTTGGAATCTTTCCCAGGTACATATTCGTATAAATAATCACTATGACAAGTGTTGCATTTATCTGACTGCTCCCAACTGAAATTCAAAGCTACTTTAGAGCAAGTATTATTATTGAATGTTTGGATTCTAATGCCTGTAAACATGTGGTGGACACTTAAAAGAGTATTTATGAAATGAATAAAATTGACTGAAGCAAATGAGAACTTCATTTCTTTAAAATTGTGTAGAATAATAATAAATGAAAGATTTCCCTCCTCTTATTTGTTTACTCTAATTTCATTTTATTATTTTGGGAGGGCTGTGCTAACACAGCAGCCACTAGGTACAATGACTGGTTTTAAACTGGAGTCCAGCTTTTGGTCCTCCTGAATACTGGGATTCTAGGAGTATACCATGCCTGGCTTGCCAAAAAATTACAGGTGTCCTTTGGTAACTAATTCATACTTTCTGTATAATTTGTGCACCAAAAAAAAATCATAGCTCATTTCTCTTATGAATTACAAACTGGGGACATGGCTCAGTGGTAGACACCTACCCACAGTTCATGAGGCTCTAGGTAGGTTCCATTGACTCCCCAGTGCCTCCCATCACTACTGGAGGGAAGAGAGAGGGAGAGGAAAAAGACAGAAGGGAGTAGGAAGAGAGAGAGTTTTACTTGAGCACAGTAGTGTAGGCCTATAATCTAGGTACTCAGAACCAGAAACTGAAAGCAGGAGACTCAGGAATTCAAGGTCATCCTCAGGCACAGAGACAGTGTGATGCCAACCCTGGCAACATTAGACCAGCATATCTTTTAAAAAGCTGTTACTTTTCTAGGAGGTTTTTATATTTGAGGTAGATTTCTCCAGAGTAATGGCTTCCTTTCTTTTCCTTTCCCTCCCCCCACCCTGTTTCTGTCTCTCAGTCTCTGTCTCTCAGTCTCTCTCTCTCTCCTTTGTATGTGTCTGGCAACTGAGAAACTGTCTTGATTGACACATACTTTGTGGCAAGAGATGGCTCTCTAAAGAATTACCTGGTGAGAGGAATTTTGCAAGCATTTAAAATGGGTTATTTAATTTTTCCAAACCGGTTGGTATTTAAACACATAGAAAATAAATGAAAGGATTCCAAAATTAATGGCATCTATAGACTAAAAGGATACGTTACAGTATAGGAATACTACAGCACCAGCTACTTTTTACTAATCTGATAAAGAACAGTAGGTGCTGTAATGTGGTGGTGGGTGGTGGGGAAGGGGCGAAGCCTTAGAGATGCTATCACACCAAAGACCCCACATGAGAAAGTACACATTTTAAAAAGACAAAAACTAACACTAAAGTCTGAAGCTAGCAGAAAGCATTTATGAGAAAGCAGGACAACTTTCAAGCTTGTAAACTGTTACTTTGGTTTTTCTTATTTGAAATATTAATTACATCTGCTGTGAGTGTTAAGTTTAAGATCTGACCCAGAATAGCAATAAATGCAATACAGCATAGTAAAGATTTCATATCAGGTGAGAAGTAATTAATTTGATGTTACTCACACTGTTGACTTGGGTCTGAGTCTGTTGTCATCTTAACATAGTTTGAAGGAAAGAGACCAGTCACCCCGTTGATTTCTCCTTGCCACCAGTCAGGGTCATCTTTGTTTATGACATTAATCAGCTGTCCCTTAGAGAAATTGAGCTCATCTTCATTACTCGCTACATAGTCATACATGGCGATCACTTGACATACTATCAAAAGAACAGCAAAAGAATAAGTTAAGAATTCCTATAAGGATCAACCCTGTCCCTAGAACTTAGATTATTACTAAATTCTAAAATTAGGCTAAAAATTTGTTTTATGTGCTCTCTCCCCCACTCCTCTTTCCTAGTCTGTCTCACAGAAGCAACTCTAGGTACAAATCCAAGTGAACCACTTCTTTTTAAATTAACAACAACACTTCCTTTTTTTAAAATTTATTTTATTATTTTACATGTCGATCCCAGTTCCCTCTCCCTCCCTCTCTTCTTTCCTCCCTCTTACCCTCTCTCCCCCCTCACATGCACCCTGACCACCCTCTCCTCCCATCCCCCCACCCCAATTCCACATGTAGGGCAATGTCATCCAGGTGGGGTCATGTAAATCTGTCAAGTCATTTGAAGTAGGGACTAGGACTTCTCTCCTGTTTCTAGGTTAAGGCAGTTATCCCTCCTTGGGGGATGTGTCCGCAAGGTCCTTTTGTGAACCAGGGATACATCCTGGCTCCACTGTCTGAGGTCCCTTAGACTGCCCAGTCCTTCTGGCTGAGACCCATATTCAGGGGGGCCTGAGTCAGTCCCATGCTGGATTCCCAGCTATCAGTCTGGAGGCCCGTTAGCTCCTCCTTGTTCAAGTCAGCTGTCTCTATGTGTTTCTGCAACCTGGTCTTGTCCTCTCCATCTGCACCTAGGTTTTAGTTCGACTCGGTGTTTATGTATGGGTGTTTGCTTCAGTGTCTAACAGGTATTAGATGAGGGCTCTCATTGATGTCACTATCCGGGAAAGGGATTTATGGTAGTCTTTCCACGGTTGCTCAAATTGTTAGTTGGCGGCAGTCTTGTAGGTCTCTAGACCTTTCTTTAGATTCAGTTTTTTCTTCAATCCAATAATGGCCTCCCCCTCTCTCCTCCTAGTTGCATGTACTATAATTCATACCACCAGAGGAACTAGCATACAAGGTGTATTCTAAGAGATTCCTATAAAGCCCCTCACAGAAGGACAGAGCACAGGGGAAGTGGGGGAGGCAGTGAATGGAGAGAGAAGTAGGAGAAAGAGAAGGGGAGGAGAGGAAAGCACCTGTCACTTTTCCATTTCTTAAAGGATAACAGGACTGACTCTGCAGGAGACTTCCCCAATAGCAGGCTGCTCAGAAGCAGAGGACAGGAAAGGTGAGCTTTCCATGTCTTTCAAAGAGCTGGCTGACCTAAGAGACTCCCATCTTCTAGACAAACCACAGGGTAACCACTTCATACCAGCGTGAAAGGCAGGTGTGGATCTCTCACTGCTTGGACCCAATAGCCTCACATGGCTGGCAGGAAACCACCCCTTCTGCCGTTTTTTCCCTCTGGCCTATAAAATTAGCAAAAGAAATGTATAATTAAAATATGAAATTAAAAGTAACCATTGAGCTACAACTCAAAATTAAAAAATCTAGGCTTTCTATAATGACAAGTTAACCTTGCCCACATACTGGCCTTTGCACTTGGCCCCTCGGACAGAATCTAAATACTTGTGGAATATCACTACTAGCAAGTGTCTCAGTTTACCTGCAAGGCTTGGGCAACACCAAATCTAGCATTGTGACTTATGGTTGGTGCTCTGTGTCATGTATATCAGCTCACTCTGATGACAGGGCTGGAGTCATATGCTCATCATATGAACAATCAATCATACCTATGTGAGAAAGCCCTAGCTAAAACTTCCAACTCTAGGGCTCCCACAGACTTCTCTGGCTGGCAATAACTGTGCTGTTACAAATTTCTTCCAGGAAGAGGTAATGCTGTCTCTTGCTCTGCTGGGAACCCCTTGTACCTAATCCATTGGCTGATTTGAATCTGTAGTTTCATAATGGCAAACAATGAGGGTAACAGCTCAGTGAGCTCTAAGAATTCTTCTAGTAAATTACCAAATTTGAAGCAGTCTTAGGGACTAGTCATAGAACTCCTGAACTCATCATTGGTCTTTCAGGTCAACATTAAACAACTGGAAGATTCACTACAATATGCATCTCAACATACTGCTAAAAATGCCAGCCTTGGAAGTCTCTAGAGAACTTCTAAGCTAACAGTTCTCTGATATTCTTCCCAAATAACATTTACAGTTTAAAGAGATCATCCCAGAGCTCCTTGCAAGTTCAAGTCAACTGTTAAAGGTATAGCTCACTTAAAGCACACCCTGGAGCTTTGTCAATAATCAGGAAGTCATTAAAGCATTTCAAGAGGGTCAAATTTCCTAGGTTAAATAAAGTAGCTTCCAGGAAGAGGTAAAGCAGAAGATTCAAGGGAAATATATTTAAGTGTTGACTGATGGCCTCTAAGTGTTATGACTGGGGGTGACTGTTTTTAAGAGCCTGACTTTTTACCTGGAAAAGAACATTACCTGTAGCTCTCCTTGCCACCACCCACTTGTGTTTTTCTTTAAGATTAATATTAACTGCCCTGGTGCAAGGCTGAGCTGTTCAGCACCGGAAGCGGCATATGCAGAAGTTACTTGAGCGATCTCTGAAAGAAGAAATTGGAACTGAGGATCCAAGACTACGGCACAGCCAATGCCGGTCAGTTTTCAAGGTTACTGTTACACATACCTGGCTTTTTGCTTGATGTTCCAGATTTGCCAGCATTTCCAAAATTCTACAAGGAAAAAAATATTTAAAAACTCATTGTCAGCAATCCAGATACAACAAACAGTCCAGGTTTACTAAGAATTAAAGATTTCTAATGCCCAGGACTCGTTTCTTTAAATGAACACCAAAATGACAACGGACTTAATATTAATCAAATAACTGAAGAATTCAACACTGACAAAGAGGTTTGATCTGCTACCAGAGTATTTTATAAGCAAGCAGCTGACATTGTCACACACTTATATGGCAGAAAGAGCTCATTTTACATAACTTTCCTGACATTAAACATGGCTGGCTGGAATTAGTTTGGTTTTGATTGCTGTGATGAAACCACCATGACCAAAAGCAACTTGGGGAGGAAAGGGTTTACTGCATCTTACTCTTCCAGATAACAGCCCATCACTGAGGAAAGTCAGGACAGAAACTGAAACAGGGCAGGAACTTGGAGAGGCCATGGAAGGATACTGCATCTTACTCTTCCAGATAACAGCCCATCACTGAGGAAAGTCAGGACAGAAACTGAAACAGGGCAGGAACTTGGAGAGGCCATGGAAGGATACTGCATCTTACTCTTCCAGATAACAGCCCATCACTGAGGAAAGTCAGGACAGAAACTGAAACAGGGCAGGAACTTGGAGAGGCCATGGAAGGATGCTGTTTACTGGCTTGCTTCTTGTAGCCTGCTTATCCTGCTCCAGGACACCAGCATAGGGGCAGCCCAGTCCACAGTGGCCTGCCCCCTAGTCATTAATTTAAAAAAAATACCCAACAAGCTTGACTATAGGCTGATCTGACTGGGGCATTTTCTCAATTGACGCTACCTCTCTTAGATGACTAACTAGCCAGCTCATGGGTTATCCTATTCATGAATAGGGTGAACATGAATGCTAAGTATATAAAATGTGTATATTAAGGATATGTGAAGGCATGTATGAGTTTTGATCTTATTTTCTGTAAGGGACCCTGGCTCATCTGTAGCTCTTGCTGAGTAGGAGGCAATCTTTATTTATTTATTATATTCTTCCTAAAATGATTGAATTTGATTTAAGAACAGGAAATTCCTATTATGGGTAGCAGCTGTAACTTCTGTTGACTTTAAAGGATAAACTGGGGATGGAGTAGCTCAGTTGTTGCTTGTTTGCCTGTTATTTGTGAGGCCCTGGATTCAATCTCCAGTACCGCAAAATAACAAGGAATAAATTGAACTGATCATATTTGTTATTATTAGGAGCTTGAGTAAAAAGGGGAGGAGTTAAGGGGGATTTTCTTTTCTATTAGGATACACAACTACATTGAAGGTCTGAAGTCAAAGCTAACATTTGTGAGTACGCAGCATGTGTGCTCTATACAGTTACAGATACTCAGCTAGTCAGTTTTATAATAACGTTGTTAAGTAATTAGGATTGTCCCTATTTCACAGAGAATGAATCTGAGGAATTGACAAGCAAGGCAACTGTTCAGAGTTATCTAGCTTCAAGTGGGGGAGGCAGGTTCAACTCCAGCAGCCTGGTCCTCAGTGTGTGGTTCACAGATCCCTATAGTCCTTGGGTGCCCTGTAGAGTGAAAACAATTTTCAAGGTAATACAAGCAACTGTCCTTTTACTGTGCCGATGGTTAGTTACAATGGTGGGTAAAATGCCAATAACTTGGTAGCATCAAACTACATTTTTACCTTAAAAAACTGACAAATATTTAGATGTAGGGTTTAGTAAACATTTTTTCAAAAATGAATTTAAGTATGCCTGTCACATTAAGGAAAACAGATGACAGGGTTTGTTGACAGTGTTAAAATTCAAGCTCCCCTCTCCCAATTAATTCCTTATACAGGACTGGGAACTGGGGATTGAACCCTAGGTCTTATACCTGGAGGCAAGAGCTTAATCCCTGAGCCAGATCCCATCCCTAATTTACCCTTTAAAAGCCAAACAGAAGTCACAGAGAGAACATTGTTCTAAAAATCCACCCTTTCAACACAGTCATCTACTAGCATGTTGGACCTTATTGATAGTTATACAATGCCACATGTGCTATTATGGGCCACAGATCAGTCATGCCTGTTAGACATGTGATGATATTTACAGATGTTATTGTCTTGATATTATATAATAAAGTGTATTATATTATATAAGGAATATCTGTACACTTCAGTGAGCCACTAGTTTCTAAATATAGTGAATGATGTTATAATTTTTCACACAAGTAAAGGCTATATTAACAATGCAAAACAAATCAGTGAGTTTTAATATAAAATAATTTTATATTAAATTAAAAGAATTTTAATATAAATTAAATACACATTAATTTTATTTTAAAATAGATTATTCAAATAGATAATAAACTTATCTAATGAATTTATAAATTAGTTTATTGAATTAATTGATATATTCAAGTATTAAATTAAATAAACAATTTTAATTGTTAATTTATTTATTAATAGTAAGTAAATATTGACAAAATTTAATATAAAAGCATTCACCAGTATGACTTTAAATTACTAGAGCTACAACTAATCTATAACAATTTGCCCTGCATCAAATTTTAATGTAGTAGAATCAGACTACTAAGAGACATCTGCAAATATTAAAATACTTTTTTACCCCCATATCTGTATGAGGTTGTATGTTCTTCATGTATTTCAACCAAAAGAAGATATGAAATAGAGCTTGGTGATGGACACTTGTAATATCTTCACGTGGGAGGCCTTATATACATGAAGATTAGGAGTTCAAGGTCTCAGATTTATACCAAATATGAAGACAGCCTGAGCTATGTAAGACCCTGTGCCTATCCCCATGATAAAAAGAAAAACACTGAAAGTTTTCTAGACTTAATCTAGAGATAGAAATGAGGTCTGTCTGCATTTACACCAGCAGCATAAAAGGTTTGTAGAAATAAAAAAATACACCATCTTTTTACTTCCTCTTTAAAACATGAGTTATTTTTCACAAAAGCTTCTTGTGCTTTCACACAATAACCCTCTGAAGGGGACCCCGATCCTCTGCAGTTTTTCATAGCACAGAGAAAGCCTGCAGGTTTCCACATTACAGCAGAATGGTGGTGTGGGGGAGGGAGTGAACTCCAGAATGTGGACCTGTGGAGTTGGTGCTGGTACAGACTCCTGTCAGCAGCTCTAGGTAACTTCTGCAGACTCTAGAACCAGTCCTTAGTGTCAGTGACCATGAGGCTCAGTCCTATCAATGGCTCATGCTCTATTTAGTCTATGAATCCTGTGCCCCTTATCTTTTAATTGGGGCCCCAAAATAAAACCTATGTGATGGGAGCTACTTCGAGCAGTTTTGTTGTATGAATGAAGCCTGACATAAATCACAGATCTCTGTATCAGCATGAATCTTGATTGGCAACAACAGAATGCCTTAGTTTTAATGCAAAGGATACTACCTCTTGATCTTTAGGTTTGACGTAGTTGGATGGGAAGATTCCAGTTCTCTCTCCAATACTTCCTGTCCACCACTCTCCATCTTTCTGGGTCACCAATATTTCTTCACCTTCATTGAAAGTCAAATCTCCAGGCTCTACACTTGAGTATGGATAAAGTGCAATGTACTCTGTAGGGAACAAGGAAAGGCAAATATTCTGGATTTTAAGACTACAGATGTAGAAAAGAAAATGGGCCAATCTCTAAGATGTAGAGGTTTACAGAAAAAAGACATTGAGCCTTACAACTTCAAACAAGGTCTTCCGGTAGAAAACAGAAACAAAGCAATTACCTAATAATTGTCTAGGTAAAGGCTAACAAACTTTACCAAGGGATTTACTTTTTTTTTTTCAATTGCTATTATTTTGTTAACGAAAAGAAAGATTATTGCTTAGGCTTCAAGGACAGTGGGCTCTGTGGCAACAAGAGTAGCAATAGTCAATCTTTTACTTTTGTTTGTTTTGTTTGAGATATAGACTCACTGTATAGCTAGCCTTGGCTGGCTTGGAAGCAGAGATCACCTGATTCTGCTTCTCCAGGGCTGAGATGAAAGGTGTGCCCACTTTGTCAATCATTTTTTTTTTTTTTTTTTTTTTTGGTAACAAAGAATTATCCTAAACTACAAACATACAGTAGCTCTACAAATAATGGAACTGAGGCTTAATGGCGAGTGCTACTTGTTGACAATGGCATCAAAACAATCTTTTAAACCTTACATAAATCTTTAATGTAAAACATACCCTAATGTGTTAATGCTGTTTTTTGACTGTTCTGTACACAGTCACGGAAACATCAAGTTCTGCCACAAGGTTTCAGCTCTTAGCACAGTGCTTGGCGCAAGCAGATGCTGAATGATCTCATGTTGTAAGTCTGCAGTTTTATATTGTCCTTGAATCTCGTTCCTATGGTTACTACTTTGAAGGAACAGCAACTGTGTTTTAGAAGTCTTTTTATTTTTCTATTTTTATGTATATTTGTCAACACAGAATCTGATTTTTTATCAGAAACATACTTTGTAGCCTACTTACCCAGAGTCACTCTACCTCATTGATTTACTACAACTATAGGTACTTACAAGGTAAGAAAATCACAGTAAGTAAGAGCGCCCGAGCTCTCCTTGCTGCTTTCCTACATTCATCTGCGCACGCAGTCTTCAGTGTCAATATGGTGCCAGCCTCTCTGTTGACCTTGTTTCCTAAGGTGCATGGTCATGCTTGATTCATTCTCTTTTTTCTGTGAGAAGCCCTTTCTCATCCTTTGTCATGGTGCTGGGACTAAAGACATGCACCATCACGTGTGTGCGTGCGTGCGTGTGTGTGTGTGTGTGTGTGTGTGTGTGTGTGTGTGTGTGTGTGTGTGTGTGTGTGCAGATCTGCAGAGGCCAGAAAGGGCACTGAGCTGTAGTTACAGGGAGTTGTGAGTAGTCTTTCTGCAAGGTAAGTAAGTGGTCTTAACCACCGAGCCATCATCCCAGCCCCTGTGCTGAATTTCTGTAGCACCAACTCTAAATATGCTAAGGATTTTCAGCCATGTGTTTTCTGTATCGTCAATATTTATATGAGGTAAACAGAAGCACGTTAATCTTACAAACATTGAACAACTTGAAATAGAGAAAAGAACAATGTATTCAAATAATAACTAAGCTAATTCCCATTTAATGCAAATTGCCCAAAGCTTACCTTCTCCAGCTGGATAAGCTGCGGAGGTAGGTTTCTTATTTACAGCCGCATACAAAGCTTCTGGCCTAGAAAATAAAGTGGAGAAATAAGACACATGAACACAGAAGATAGAAACTCCAGAAAAAGTGAACTGAAGACTGTGACAGGGTTATCAGTGTCTAGTGTCCCCTCAACTAAATAACATCTCTGTGCACACAGTAGGAATATTCTTATATACAAAATCCTCTGAGACCAAGAACTGCCTAACTATAAACCACTACATTTTAAAATAACTTCAACAGAACATAGGTTTCACCTTTACATGGAACTTAACAGACATCTGTACACTAGTCAGTGGACAGCACATACAGAGACTGGCTTGACTTACAGATAAACAAGGTAAATATACAAATGTTATTATCTGATTAGAATTTATTACATCTAAAAATATAAAAAAGCAGACTTAAAAATTTTCATAATGGGTAAATAGTAATTTCCATGTTAATCCAGGGTGCTGGTTTCAAAAGTTTGAAAGAACTATCAAGTTGTAGATACAGATACCCAGGGAATGCCGAGGATCCCCAGGCCCTGCATCTGAATTATGGAATGGCACAGAGAAATCACTACTAAACCCTCACAACGGGACTGCCTTGTTTAATGCTAATGTCTCCATCAATGCAGGCTTTGCTAGTTTTCTTTGTGGCTTGTGCTTTTTTGTTTTGGGACAGGGTCTTCTATGTTGCCCATGCTGGGTTTTGAACTTGTAAGATCCAAGAAATCTTCCTGCTTTGACTTCCTAAGTTGCCAAACCTACTGACATGTATACTCATACCCAGCTTTATGGCAGCTGACCCATCTCTTAGAAAGGATCAGTAATTGAACAGAAATTTAGGGGGAAATGGCCTCTAAAACATTTAAACTTAATCTGTTTTTTGTTTACATTTTCTTGTATAGAAATAATACAATCATTGCACTAAAGGGTCTAGCATGGAGATGCTAGGCATGAATTGTGATGCTTACTACTTCATGCTTCCACAATTCCAGGTCAACCTGAGAAGCTAATGTCTACATCTGAACTAAAGGCTAATAAGTAGATGTGCAACAATGAAGAGTCTTACAGCTTTTGAAGTTTAACTTTTTCATCTAATCAGAAATCTGAACATAGTGGAACGAGGACATAAGCTTGATTTCCAAGACCAGGATGCTCATGTATTACACTGCTTCTATTCAGACCCCTTTCAGATGGGATGCAAGGAACAGTTACCCACAGCTAACAGTGGTGCTTACTCCCATATTAGAGCCAGCTGGTAACATGACACCTCCACAGACATAAGATCTCGGTCAAGCTAGGTTTTGGTTTTTGTATATTTGCAATTTCATTCAATTGTCCACTCATTCTCTCCTGCCCTCATTCATTAAGCTGGTTACCAGCTACTATGTATTAAAGTAGCTAGGAAAAAATGGATCAAAAGAGACAAATTATAGCTTCATGAGCTTATGACTTAATTAGGAATATGGGTCAAAAGAGCCAATAACTATAAAGACATATAGTATGAACAACAGAGAGGTTATGTTTAAAGAGCTCTGGAAGTCCAGGCATGTGAATGCTCAATTTGAAAGGGCAAGACCTCAGTAAGGATCCTTTAAATACTGAAAAATTTCAGTAAACAATGGAGAAATGCTTCAAATGTAATGAAAAGCAAATTTTCTTTCTAACTGGTCTTATGGTAAAAAGAAAACAAACCTAGAAATTGAGTATTCTGAAAACTTCACAAATTTGAAATGGCTAGAAGAAAAGAATCTAAAACAGATAAAAACACGTGGAGTAATTTTTTCCATGTCTGAAATTTCCCTCTGGAATTCAAACCCCTGCTTATGTGGCAAAGATGCCAACATCCATGCCTGAAGGAGATACACAGAAGTGCTTACTCTTCTCGCTTTACTTCACTCCCAGGAATGATCTTGACATAAGATTTGGGGAACCATCCTCTTCCTCCATGCACCTCCCCAAACCACCAATTTTCTTGTTGCTCCAGGACAGTAATGACATCGTGTTTTGAGAAGTTCAAGTGGTTCTCTTTCTTTGCCGTCCAAGAACAAAGGGCCTGGGCTTTCAGGTTTTCTACAGCTTGCCCCTAGGATACAAAGCCACCAGAATTTAAAAACAGATCATGGTAACTGTGATTTCTAATTCCTAGCATATCAACTTGGTCAGTCTATGAACTTAAAGTAACACACAATACACAGCCCTGTGAGGAGCTTTCTTGAGCATCCCACCATTCAAGGACACATCATCATGGATACTGATGAGCACACACTCAAGCAAGCATTCATAAATCCATCAAGTGAAATTTAAAAAGGACTTACTGCAATTTTCTTCTCTCCTCCAGCTTCCAAAGGCTTCTAGCTGCTGTTGGCTCTCCCTGATCCCCAAGGAATGGAGTCCTGGTCGTGCTTAGCATCCCCCTTGCTGTTCCCTCTTAACAACTATGGCCCCTCTCCCTTCACAGGTGAGCTCCTCACTCACAGTGGACGCACTGCCCTCTTACTCCCCACAGGTAGTAACACTGAGTCCCTCTCCAGCGGACTTACCTGTTCCCACCTCCCACTTTGGCACAGCAGTAACTGCATGCCATTGCATCAAGCTTTCATGAACATAGGTGGTTGAGCTTATGCACCAGGTGCTTTCCCCAGTGAGCAGTTAACGGTGTTATGTTTGTTTTTTCACTGCTGAATTGTCTAGTACTCTATTAACTACTTTACTAATTACCCCTAACCTCTATAGCTGCTTATCTTAAAATGGTATTTGTTGGTTGGTATTTACTGATTGAGACAGTCTTGCTTGTGCAGCTCAGGCTAGCCTTAAATGGTTTATGTAGCCAAGGATGACTTGAAAATCTCAGTCTTTCTAGCTCAGCCTTCTAAGTGCTGATGCTGTACAACAATACTATGCTTCTTCACACTTTCCTCAAGAGCTGTGTAATCTAACTACACTACACACAAGCCTCATTTCTTCCAACACCTCTAATTGATGTGCCTTAGTGACCTTACTCACATTGCTATTTCACTAGAGAAACTTCTAGGTTTGGTGAAGCCTTGCTTCTGTTTGAGGATCCAACTCAAATACCTTTCCTTCAGGAAGTATGCGCTAATTCTCACAGATCACGAGATGTTCTCTCCTTCCTGAGCCCTCAGAACTTTGCAGCTGTATTTATTACATTTCTCATGTTTCACAGTTACATGTATGCATGATTCCTTTATTAGGTTTTAAACTACTTAGTGGTGGAATTTTTGTCAACATATGTTCTCTTGAATTTTTAGCACATAATAAAATGCTGGAAATTATAACCATATACTAAGGATTTCTAAGTGAAGACAACATCTGTATTTCAGATTTTGTATTTCTTTTTAGTAATTTTAATGTATCTAAGTACATATACCAAAGTACCAGGGTTCCCAGACAAGAAAAACAATGGCCCTCCCTAGCCCAATCCTTATGGGACTGAGTTGTTAAGCAAATACTTAGAATGTAACTGAATGCTACAGGCCCTGCTTAAATGATGGAAAGATGGATGCCTCTGTATGGAATCCAGAGCAAAATCAAGAATAAAGAGAACTACAGATAACATACCTGTCCATGAATGGGGGACACAGATCCTGGAGACACAGTGCGAGTAAAAGCTGACTTTTTTTGCCATGATGTGTTGACAGTAAGGTTTGAGAAAGATACATTTTGATAATCAGTCACTGATGCTGGTTGATTTGAACAAAGTGGTCTGCAAATGCAAAACTTTAATATAAGTATACTTAGTTGTTTAGAACCTAACAGAGTACTACCAGTTTTCCCACATGTCTAATACACACTGTATATAAACAGGATTTGTGGGTAAAATGAACTTATGCACTATGAGGTCATTTACTAAATTTCAGTATTAAAGTGGAAACAAAAGGCACTGTTGGAAGAGCCAGCTCAGATTGAAACTGTGACCAAGAGTCAGGCTGGCATAGCTATGCAGTAGTATTCACACACTGGAGGGCTATGTGAATCCCACTGTCATCTCACAACTCACTGGGGAGAAGTTGAGGTAGCAGATAGAGATCCTGTAGGAGGAAGCAAGGCCTTCTTAGGAGAGGGAGCTTTTTCACCACACAACATCTTTTCTACATAGTTGCATGGAAACCAGCCAAACTTTCCCTGAAAGCTGCCATAAAGCCAACCAGGCTCTCCTACTGTCTTTTCATCAACCTATGGGAGAGAGAGAGAAAAAAAAAAGTTCAGTGCTTATTCTCAGATCCAGAATTAAATCCATCTGAAATAAAAAGGTATTTCCTACAAATTATTAGATTACTATTTCTTGACATAGACAAATTATCTTTTAAATTTTTATCGAAGTTAATATATGAGGCCAGGTATGGTGGTGCACACCTTTAATCCCAATACACAGGAGGCAGAGGCAGGTAGATCTCTGTGAGTTTGAAGCCAGCCTGGTCTACATAGTAAGTTCCAGGCCAGCCAGAGTTACACAATGAAACACTATCTCAAAACAAAGAAACAACAACTACTACAAAAATAACACAAAGTTAATACATGAAAATAAGTTACAACAAAACAGCATTATATACAGTATACTATCTCTCTCTACACACACACACACACACACACACACACACACACACACACACACATCTCACAAAGGCCTGGTTGGCCTTATACTTGTGGCTGTGCTGGGGTCACAGTTCTGAGCCACCAGACTTAGCTGCAAGTATATTTACAATGCTGCTTCTTGGATTTGTTTTCAGTTTTTAGACATTATCTGTTGGGTTTTGGTTATAAAAAAAAGATTCATCTCTCTCTTTCATTGTATGTTCTTACTCTATCCATATTATTATATAATTTTTATTAGAGTAAAATTAACATTTATGTTATACCTATGTCAATCTCTCACATCTGACTTACATATTTCCTTTCTTATAAACTTTCAATATTCTATAGTTAGTCATTTTTGGGGGGCTTAGCTGAACAGGAAAACCTCTGGGTACTATTTTCTAAGCAGTAAAACCAATTTCTTTTTTCCCCTAAACACTTTTTTCATTATAGTACAACAGCCCTCCAGCCTCAACACATCTCCCACCCTTCTTCCTGGATTTGGCCAGTGCTTACAGAACACAGTCCTAAAGCCCTCCTCTCAGGAGGGACTTTTTTTTCCAAAAGAACAATTTTACACTTTCAACTCTGAGCACAAGGTCTTCAACCAGACACCCAATGGGACCATCCAACTCCAGTCTAAGATTGAGCCTCTCTCCCCAGTCCTAGGCACAAACTCTTGGGCTGCTACTTTTCTTTTTTTTAATGGTGAAAAGCAGTGTACATTTAGAATGTGCCAGCTGTACTCAGTTTAGATATCCCAGTTTGTTGATACATCCAGAGCATCACCACGAGGAACTGGCTAACACAGGCTTCCTTCTCTCCATTAAGCCTTGTGAGGGTGTTGACTTTGGCCACATCAGTGTCATATAGAGTGTCTTCACAGTCTGTGTGATCTGGTGCTTGTTGGCCTTGACATCCACAATGAACACAAGTGTGTTGTCTTGTCTTCTTCATGGCTGACTCAGTGGTCAGGGGGAATCTGATGATGGCATAGTGTCAAGCTTGTTTCTCCTAAGCACTCTTCTGAGGGTATGTCAGCTACCTCCACAGAAGCAGGGTCTTGTGCCCTGTAAGGTAGGTTTTCTTTTTGTGGCCGTGGATGCCTGTCGGCACTGCCTTCTTGGCTTTCAAGGCCTTTGCTTTGGTTTTAACAGGAGCTTCCTTCTTCACCTTTGGCACCATCTTCTATTGCTATTATTGTCAACATCAAAGACTTAAGCCCCTAAACAGAAGTCTGTGGCTCCTATCTCTATAATATGTTGATAGGAAAACTGCTGACTTTGTCACTAAAACAGTTCTTATTCTTTCTATTCCGTCCTCCATAAGCAATAGCAGCCTTTTTTTTTTTTTTTTAAATTTTTATTATTTATTTTTTGGTATAACATCAATCATTATCATCTTTACTCACAGTCAGATTTTGTTCTCTAATAGATACTGCTAAAATTTACATGATCATACTGTATTATTTCTGTACATATATTTTCCCTAATACTGTCATAATCAGCATTACTGTATTACATTTATCTCTTCTAGTTGTCTGTGACTCTTTATCAATTCCATTTGGCACAGTACACATCTGCTTACTTTAATGAATAAATGATTATGCCAACCATCTCTCATTCTATTTCCTCTCTAGACCAGGCTGGCCTCTGTCTCTCAAGTGCTAGGATTAAAGGCATGTACCACCACCATCTGGCTTCATCTCTATTTTCTATACCTGTCTACAACATACTTTTCTGTTGACAATGTTATAGTAATCAAACCATACAGGATCAACAGAACTTTAAAATTTATTTTAAAAATTAACATACAAAGTGGGCTGTATCATGGCATTGCCATGCATATATGTCATTTACTGCATTCTAATTCATTTTCCATCCCCCCCGTGCTCCGCCCAACTCTACTGGTTCCTTTTTTTCCTCCACAACTTTTAAAAACAGCTTTCTGAGATGTAATTAACACGAATTTTATATTAAATGTGTTAGTGTATGTTTTGGTATATTTATATACCCCTCACCATACCTCCTGGGAAACAATGGCCTGTTTTATGTTACTATATATTAGTTTGCAGGTTCTATGAATAAAATCGTTTAATATTTTCCTTGTTTTGTTTGCCCCCTTACATGTAAAATAACTGTTTTTGGATCCATCTATGTTGGAATATGAATGCCATTCCTCTTTACTGGCAGTTACTTGTATATATCATAATTTGTTCATGATTTTCCTACTGATGGACATCTGGGTTGTTTCAAGTGTTTAGCTATTATAAACAAAGATGCTATGAACATCTGTTCACATGGACATGTGCTTTCTACTCTCTGAGGTAGACACTTAAGAGAGTAGAATGACCAGGTCACAGTAGATGCATATTTAGCTTTTTTTTTTTTTAAATAATGGCTTATTGAGTATTATCTTGATATCAGAGACTAAAATCCAAGTTGGTAACTTTCCAATATATATTGCCTTTGTCAACATGATTCTATATGTATTTTCTTATCACATATCTCACATGGGTTATGATAATACAACAAAGACCATTTGTTGCAAGGAACAAATGGCCAAATCCAGTCAGGATTGCAGAACTTAATTTTACCCCCTTTAACAGTTACTAGAAAATAATCAACCTCTCAAAATTCTACTGTTCATTTATTAAAACACTGCAAGTGGTGGCATCTTTTATGATGTGAACTGATATGACATGGTGGAAAGAACACTGGACTCACAACCAAAAGACATACTTTCATTCTACTCTGTCACTGCAATGCTGACAGTTATAATTTGTCTGAGTGTGAATTTTCTTTTTTGGTACTAATAACTACCCTGAGTGGCTCCGAGAGATAAAAGGGCTAAGTGAGATAATGTTTTAAAAATATCTTTAGAAGTATGTAAAAATCAAAGTTAATATTACAGAAAACATAGTACAGTGTACTGTAATTAGCTTACTCATGGGCAGAAAAAGCTTCATTTCTTACCTGAATTATATCCCCAGAATTAAAACTCATCTCATCATGGTTCCTTGCTTCAAAGGGGTACAATGCTCTATAATTCACCAAAACACTAGCTGTCTCACCTGAAGAAAAGATAATTCCCATCATTTGCTACTTTTGAGCATAAACATCTTTACTATGACTCAACAAAGAGCTCTTAAAATCTAAAAGAAAAAAAATGAGCATCGAACAGTATAATGAAAATTTGCTTGCCTTAGATTTGTTAGGGTTTAAATGTCTTGACTAGTCATAGAGTAGATGGAAAGCAAATGTAAAGCACTCATCTTAAGTGAGGTAGGAGGCAGCTAAACAAAGTGATGCCTCACAGGCTGAGACATGCACCTGGATCTAGGGGAGGGTGTGGGAGTCGCGCAGATCAAGCTGTGTACAGTGGAAGGCATCTAAGCAGGGGCGAGACATGGCTAGATCTGTGGAGGTGAGACAATGACAGAAAGTAATGTGCACAAGGAAGTCACAAATTAGACGAGTGAGGAAAAGGGATTAGATGAAGAAACATCTATAGATTTACTCATTTGTTCTAAAGGGAAACTAGAAGGACTCACAAATATATTGGACTTGATAAGTTTAAAAATATTTTGTTAAAAAATTTGAACACACTGTATCACTATTATGAATCCCAAAGTTCACTCATCTAAAAGTAGACGTACTGCTGAAGTATATGATAGGAATGGACTCCGAGCTGTATAAGGAAGCATGCCTTCTGAGAAAAGTTCAATGTGAAAGACTTAAACATTTAAGGTTACATCCATTCTGAAAACTGTGGCATTTCATTTCATCAATGAAATTACCATTTTTTCTTGTCTGCACACTTTTCACTCACATTTAATTGAAAAGGTTTTCCTACCCTAAGATGAGCGTTTCTGTCTGCTGTTGTTATTGTATTGTGCTGCCCTCAGCAGATCTACTGTTACCCTTACTTTGTTTTGCCTCAGCTTTTCGCTCCTCTTCTTGAGTTTTCTCCTGTGATTTTTCTTCCTGAAGTCGCTTTTGTTTTTCTTCTTCTTCCTTTCTAATACTTTCTCTCCACAAGTTTTCTTTTCCTTGTTTTGCTTTCCTTTAAGAGAAATGAAGAGTTTACACAATGTCCTATTATGTGGCACACACAAACCAAAACAAACCGACATGCATGCTGGAAGATCTGGCTGGAGAACTAGTCAGAGGTGTTGAGTGATGGGGGAAGGCAGACTGAAGGAGGAGAAAGTGGGGGCTGAGGGAGGGAAAGTGGGGGCCTAGGACTGAAGGGGAAACAGTCAGCCAATGAGAAATGATTGGCTAAGGTGATCTGGGGAACACAACTGACAGCTCTTCAGACTTCAAACTCCCTCTAAACCCAAGAAGAATGCAGAAAGGGATCCAGTCAGCAAATGTAAACCTTCTTCCTGTCTGGACTCCACACAAGTACTCCTTGTGGCCTCAGCATTATCAAGACCAGCAGAGGATGTGGCCAGACAGATCCCTGGGCCTAGCTTTCTTTCAATAGTTTCAAACCCTTCAGCCTCTATCCTATCACAATACGCTTTCTCTAGAAGCTTCGTGGTGAAATATGTGTATCAGGATAATGAACCAGGAGTACAATCCCAGAGATATATCTAGCCACAATCTCTGCTACTCTGATAGAGTAGATGTAGTAGTGGTAACTTTTTCTCTGAATGAGGTAAAAAATAGATGTGAGAGAACTGTAATACACATTATTTCTGATACTTTATTGTCATATATCATAGAAACAATGGAAGACAAAGAACCCAATCCTGGTCTGGCTCCCATGTCCTTAGCTTTCACTAATAGGCCATAAAACTGGTTAATGAAAACTTGATACCTGATAGGAGAATTGAATTTATAAAATTTAGAATTTAATTAGTACCTAAAATAATCCTTTAATTCCCCTCAAATTTTCATAAACAAAAGCAATGTGCAACAAAGCTAGATTTTATTTTTTAAGACAGGGTTTCTCTGTAGATCAGGCTGGCCTAGAACTCAAAGTGATCCAACTGCATCTGCCTCCAGAGTACTGGGATTAAAGGCATTTACCACCATGGTCTAGTAGAATTTTAATAGTAACATAGTACAATACATTCATCAGTTACATTAATTACCTTGCAGCTTCATCTTCTAGTTTCTTTTTCTGTATTTGCTCTAATCTTTTTCTTTCAATTTCCTTCAATTTGTCACGTTTGATTTTATGAAGTTGTTCAAGGGCTAACTGCTGTGTATTATAGCTTTCTCTCAGTTCCTAAGGATAAAATATAAATAAGTCAATACTTAAATATTTTAATCATATTTAATAATGTAGCATTTGCATTAAAACAAATTACTAAGACAAATCTAATTAAATTTAAAGGTTTAGAAATATCTATTTAAATGATATACAATCTTTAATACAATAGGACTTCATATACCTACAAAGACAAATACATGCTAAATTCACCTATTCCCACATCAGTTCATCTATAAAAGACAAAGAATAATAAACCAAATATTTGAAGTGTTATTTTCAGTAGAAAATGAAATTAACTAAGTATGGAAAGCAATTTGTTTCTAATAACGTTTAAAGAAAACTTTTGTGTGGTATGTGTGTATAGACCAGAGGTCAAGATCAAAGGTCAACCTTGAGTGTCTTTTCTCAGGTACCAAACTCCTTATTTCTTGAGGCAGACTCTCTCTCACTGCCTGAAACTTGTCTAGTACTCTAGACTGGCTGGCTAGCCTCAAGGACCTGTCTGTGTCTACCTTCCCAGTGCTGGGATCACAATGGATTTTTACATGTGGTTTTGGAAAGGCTCAGTGTTCCTAGTATTTCCATTCAGAAGCAATCATTTACTCTGGGTCTAAATGACCAAACATTGCATTTCCCTGCTCAGAATAACTTGTCAAAAGGACATGATCCAAGCTGGGTCAGAGTCTTTTCCAGGTATATAGTCACCTAGGTTAAATGTTATAAAGAGAAACTTTCCTGGTTCACTAAACTGAGATAAACTAAATCTGGCTCCTTTACCCAGTGATACCAGGACATAAAATAGAGGTAAAGATTAGACAGGTGGGGAAGAGAACTAGGGGAAACCGATCTTCAACTCCATGGCTCCACGTTGTAGGAACCACCTTTGCAGCAGCTGTTCTGCCCACTCATTCTTCCTGGTATTCTTTCAATAGCCACCATTTTGAATTGGTTTTCTTTCCCTTGGAATCTATAGAATACTAAATGTGTGTGTGTGTGTGTGTGTGTGTGTGTGTGTGTGTGTGTGTGTGTGTGTGTGTCATGGGGGAGAGCTGAAAGAAAGAGAAACCTAACAACAACCAACCAAATAACAGCAACAAAACAAAACATACAAACAACAACAACAAAAAACAGAAAGAGAACAACAACAACAACAACAACAAAAAAAAAAAACCCTAAAATAATCAAAAGACACTTAGGGCAAAGGATGGAGGTAGACAATATTTGTATACATTTTAGCTTTCTTTTTAAAAAGTGTATGGTGTCCCCACACCCTCCCAGTCAGAAAACTCCAAACCAAAACCAGGCCAACCTATATACTTTTAGAAACAAGCTATGCTGGAGGTAAACTGACTGTTCTATAGGTCTGGCCTAAGGGTGGTATGGTGACTGACATTGTCCAAGTGTCTGGGACTTACACAGCAACAATACAAATGCTGTGTTTGGGTTAAGTCTCGCCCAGCTCTTAGCTTCCATGGTTGTAGTTGTTATTTTTGCCTCTAAATTCTACTTAAGAGCAAAGACCATGATGATTACAAGGAGAAGCAGGATGATTTAGTGTTAAGAAGTATGCTTCGAGAAGTCCACCAAAATTTGAGTCAGGTTCTGTCATAATGACGTGTATTAACTCAGGAAAGTTTTACGTCTCCTGAGTGTGTCTCACAGAGCTGCTGGAAGGATAAATGGGTTAATCTAGGTAAAGCTCTTATAGTATTACAGGCTATTCGTGGCAGGAGCCAGAACTAAGGAGAATACTACATTTTGAGGGAATGTAAAGAGAAATCAGATTTTTGTCTGATCTTAGCCTGTGTAGCATTAGCCTTCCAACTTATCCTTTAAGATTGAGCTACAGTCACTTTCCAAGGAGGTTTGACTTCAAGCCTTGAGTTCTTCAAATGGGCCTTCTTCCAATGGCCGACTAAGAACAAAAAGTCTAATAGCTGGGACCTCTCCCAGCAAAGTCTGAGTAATTTTTTGTAGTTTCAAGTTGTGCCAAAAGCTAGAAAGTTGAATATGATATAAAAACTATTTGTTTGGAACACTCTCAAGACACCTGAGGGAGGTGAAGGACACCCATCTGACACCCAGCACTCTTCTATTCCAGGCACTTGCCCACCTGAGAAACTGGAGCTGTAGCTGAGAACTAACCCTGATCCACAAGTATGGGGCAGAAAGCTAACTGAGAATCATCTAGGCTTTTGAAACCCCAAACCCACCCCCAAGTGACATACCTCCTCCAACATGGCCACACCTCCCAATCCTTCCTAAACCATTCTACCAAGTACTCAAAAATATGAACCTATGAGGGCCATTCTCATTTAAACCACCACAGAACCCCGCCAGTCCTGCTTTGAACCAGCTCGTCAGTAACTGAATAAAGGTGATTTATCCCATTTTGTTTGCCAGAAGCAAAAGCAAATTGTCTCTGGAAAGGCAATTATCAAATTACAAATGAATATCCAAATTATTTCTGTGATTTTTTTTTCATATAAAAGCCTGGATAGAATTCAACAACTTTTTTTTTTTTTTTTTTTTTTTTTTTTCTGAAAATTACCAGAGGTCAATGCCATGCATCAAGAAATAAGGAAGAGGGCCAGACAGATGGCTCAGCAGGTAGTACTGCTCTTCCAGAAGACTCAGGTTTTGTTCCCAGCACCTACACTGCAGCTCACAACCATCTGTAACTCCAGTTTCAGAGGATCTGATGCCCTCTTCTGGCCTCTGCAGGCACTGGGTATCCACATGGTATACAGACAAACAAGCAGGCAAATTAATAATGACACTAAGTAAATCAAGTATGTAAACTGTAATCTCCAGGGTATCTGCTACCAGAAAAGTAGAAGAAGGTACAGCTAGCTATAAAGAAGGAAGGAGGAGAGTTCAACAAAAACAACACTCAGTTCCTATCCCTCCTTTTGAAGGAACTAGAGACATTAATGGTTGCTGGGGGAAGGTAGCCATTAAGCTGCCAAAGCCTAAGTAAATAACTTACCACCCATGCTCAGGCAGAATTCTAACTAAATGAAGTAGGTTTCCAAAAAAATGCAAGGAGCCCCCCTTTTTAGGAAGAAGAAGGTGTTAGTGGGAGGGGTAAGAAGATAAGGATAATGGTGGACTGTGTTCAAAGTGCATTATATATGTGAATAAAGCTGTGAAGAGAAGGAGAGATGGAGGGAGGGAAGGAGGGAGGGAGGAAAGAAAGAAATAAAAGTAAATGTACTTAAAAAAAAAAAGGGCAAGGCGAGAAAACACAAAATAAATGAGGCAAAATAAATAACAGAAGAAAAGGAAATGACATTCACAGTCCAAATTTGTCAATAAGTATATTAAACATACCCACTACTCCATTTAAATATAAAACTGAAATTATAAACTATGTTACTTAAAAGATAAACTGTTAATGAAATATATAATGATTTATAGACATGGAAACTATTTTTTCCCAACAGGACAAAAGAAAGCTGGCACAGTTAGACTAATATATCAGGAAATGTTATTCTTGAAAAAAAAAAAACTATGTATGTATGTGTTGCATGCATGTTTATGTGTGTATAAGTGCATATGCATGTACATATGTTTATAGGATTGAAGTCAATCTTAAGTATCTTTCCTCAGGACTCTCGATCTTGTTTTTGAGACAGGGCCTCTTGATGAGACCTGGGGCTCACCAATTAGGATAGGCAGGCTAGCCAAAAAGCCCCAGGGAGAACCTGTCTCTGCTTCCGGCCCACACTGCATCTGTCACTTCCTGCACTGTGTTTTAAGCATATCACTGTGCCCAGATTTCTCTGAGAATAGATGGGAGTGAATTTGGGGTCTCATGAGCACTGTGCCAAGTGAGCTATCTCCCCAGTTCACCCACTCCACTTTTTCTCTTCTTTTCTTTTCTTTTCTTTTCTTTTCTTTTCTTTTCTTTTCTTTGGAGACAGGCTCTTTCCATGTACAGACTGTATTCACACTGGGCTCAAAGGCACCTGTGGGCCAGGGTAGTCTGCCTTTGCCTCCCAGTGCTGGGACTGTAGGCAGAAGAACTAGTCCTAAGGCAAGAAGCCTCCCTAGAGAACACATCATGATAAATGGACCATCACAGTAAACTACAACGGTTTTACATCTACTCACACTAACAACAGCCTCCATTTTACCATTCCAGTCTCTAAAACTGAGACAACACAGTCGGCACTTCAAACCACTTTGTCTTCACTGGAGGGCAATAGCTTGTAATCTGGCAGCCAATACATTTCTAAGGTTTTAAAGTTATTTCTAGTAGAGTTTAGAAGTTTATGAATGTGGCTAGGGACAAAATTAGTTCTTACTTTTACTAACTCCTATCTGAAATCCAACACCTCCATCAATGTCAGATGCAGCAATAAACCACCATATTACTCACATTTATGACATTTTCACAAACAGAAACTGAAGATGCCCTTATAATTACAGATTACTTACTGTCATGACTTTAAAAATGGTATGTCTGTCACTAGATCTTATTTAATTCATAAACATAGAATCATATATGCTTGAACTTTTACATTTGATAATATTTTAAAAAATATATAATACATACACACTTTTGACACTGTTGGGGATTGGGCCTGGGGCTAAGTGCATGCTAGGCAGGTGCACTAACACTGAGTTACACCCTCAGCCCCTCATTTAAAATATTATGAGATAAGATCTAGAAAGGCGTCCACAGCATAAACATGTTTAAGATGCTTTACTTCAGCAACCAAGGTTCCCACCCCATGCCTCACAGCAGTCCTTCAGGTCCATACTTCCTACTATTGTACCTCACCTTGGACACAGATGCTCCAAAGGTACACGTGACACCCAAATCACCCCTTGGCACCAGGAGGGTACCACTAAAAATTGTGATGTTGGCAAATTCTATTTTTCCTCTATGGAAAAGTACTTCCTCAGTTACTATTCCGAGTCAATAGCAGCAGATTTTTTTTTTTTTAATCACACTAGGAATTTAAGAGATTCTGTGCAACTCTTTCCTTAATAAGAACAACAAAAGTATTTGTATAGCACATGAGGGTTCTCCCTGTGTCTGTCTGTATGTGTGTATGTGTGCATGCTATTTGGCTGTCACCTATTGATCACCTGGTCACTGATTCTCATTTATTCACATCTGATCTCTGCATTAATGGTCCAATAAAAACCCAATTCTGAGGTCAGATCTTTTTTTTCCCTCTAGTTTTTATGTATATGCTTATACATATTCATACACACTTGCATGTTTCCTCCCTTCAATATCTCCCCTACACACATCTAATAAACAAAAATGTGCTATTTACCAGATAATTATTTGGTGGAAATACAAATAATATTCTTTTATGGCTAGCTTTTTACACATAAACAAACAATGGCATTTATTTCATGACCATAAAATAGTCTCTTGACATTCAATGTATATAAATGTATATACTCTATCAAAACTGTCTATTGAAATCTCATGACAAAAAAAAAGACAGTGAATGAGAAAATAATTTATTCCAAAAGTAAGTTATGGATTATTTGTTTTGATATCTATGGTGCTTGGGTTGCTGTCATTTTAACATTTTCCCTTGGCTATTACTTGGTGTACTAAAAAAAAATTCAAAAAAATTAAAATGATATTCAACAAATAAAGATCATAAATATTGGACCACTGCAGGTTCATAGCAAATATTTAGTTTCTATTTATGTCAATATTTACTGTCTAAGCAAACAATTCTGACTCTTTCAATTTTCTTCTATATTGCAATTTATACTTCTCCATGATGTGTGGAAAGTAAAGTTTTCTTCAGAGAAACTAGATAAACTCCATTCCCAATGGACTCTGATTCTATTGCCTTGTATTTCTCATTGCAATGCTTTTAAATTTCCTGGTTGTTCTTTTTCCTTGTGCCATGCTCAATTTCATAGGATGCATTTATTTTTGAATAGGACATAATAACATAATACAACATGACTGATGCAAGTGAACATGATTCATTACTCCATTTCACATCAGTGTAGGAAAATTTGATCGGATGTGGTTAGAAAACTGTTTATCAAGTGGTAGCATTCTCTGATCTCTTACATTGAATACATATAAAGCTCCAGTAAATAACTTCTTTATCCTTATATAAATGTGTAGTAGAAAATATCTTTGCTTAAATATTTTATATATTTATGTTTGTTTTTATGATCTTAGAGAAGCAGTTTATTATAGTAAAGATGAGGTCAGATTTTTTAAATGCTTCTTAATGGGCCATTCCTACTAGTACTTGGGTTCTATTATTATCAAAAGCAACTGCCACTGGCAAAATACCCTATTCTTTACACATAAACTCTCAAGCCTCTGAGCCTTCCTTATACCCAGTACAGCCACTCCAAAGGGGTGTTAGTTGGCTTTCTTCTTCTCTTTCTTAATCAGCCCCTCCTTCTCTATGACCTTTTCACATCCAGGTCCTACTTCAGAGTTCATCTTTATCCTAATTCTTGTGTTAAGACCTCTAACTCCCTTTCCCTTTCATCTTGGCTAATGTCTGCTAAAATCTCAAACCTGTATGAACCCATTTCACTAGCCATCTCTATGCTTATTTCTAAGCAAGCTGTACATTAGTGGAGGAAAGTCATATAATCAGGCATCTAGCCTTCAAATTACACTCATGACCTGTAATTAGACAGGCATTTAACATTGCTCCACACATTGTTTCTTCTCTCAAGCTTGTACTCACCTGCTCCCAACTACCAAGGCATCTATTTTAGGCTGACTTCTCTCTATAAATTTACTAATCCTCCATCTACTCTTTCCTAAAAACCTTACCCAGAACCCATCAGATTTGATCTCCTTTATCTTTCTATTTCAAACCTAGTAAAACTTCTTGCATCAGTCTTTTTCTGACCCGGAGTGGTTATTCCATGCTCTCACCTACCCAGGGTGAGTCTTTGTAATGATCCAGTACATTCCAAGTCTTGAAGCTTCTAACTTCCTGTTTTCTACTAACAAATGTAACTGAACTCATCTTTTTTTTTTTTTTTTTCTTCAGAAAGGGTTTCCCTGTGTGGCTTTGGAGCCTGCCTGGAAATAGTTCTTGTAGACAAGGCTGGCCTCAAACTCACAGAGATCTGCCTGCCTCTGCCTCCCAAGTACTGGGATTAAAGGTGTGTACTCTTTTGGTTTTTTTCAAGACAGTATTTCTCTGTGTAACAGCACTAGCTGTCCTGGAAGTTGTTCTAACCGGGACGGTTAGAACTGAATGATCTTTTCCCATATGTCACACTAGAAGAATTCTTTCCTTAACAATTACATTTATTTACTTATTTATTTAATTTGGGTGTGTGAAAACTTATATATGTGATATGCCACAGTGTGTTATATTCCCTTCCTCCACCACAAGGGTCATCAGGCTTGGTAGCAAGAGACTTTTCCTGTTTATCTATCCTCCAGCATGTGGAAGTATTCTTCTTAAAGAAACCCTTTAATCTCTGCTCTGGATTTTTTTCTTTTTCTTTTCTTTCCACTCTTTATTTTCGCTTTTTTTTTTTTTGAGGGTATAAGTGTGTGTGTGTGTGTGTGTGTGTGTGTGTGTGTGTGTGTGTGTGTGTGTTCATGTGTGTGTATAGGCCAGAGTTCAACATCAGATGTCTTCCTCAATTGTTTTCTGCCTTATTTTTAATAATCCTCTTACTTATTCTTTGAGAATTTCATACAATATATTCATCCCATTCCCCAACTCTTTGTAACTCCTTTCCATCTCCCTTCCTGCCCAACTTCATGTTCTTTCTTTAAAAACAAACAAACAAACAAAACTATGGAGTACAGTTTGTGTTGGCTGACTACTCCTAGGCATGGGGCCTGCCCTGTTCTCTGGAATATGACTCATATAGCCACCTTATTTTTTTGAGACAGGGTCTCTCACCGCCAAGTCTCTCTCCAGCACTGGGACCACAGGAAGGTGTGCCACAAGCGGCTTTTTTACATAGGCCCCTTTCATGGCAAACATATAACCAATTGTTCCTAACCTCCTTCTTCAGGGACCAGGCTTTATCAATTATAATACTGATATGATATATATATATATATATATATATATACATATATATATATATATATATGAGTATATGATCCTTTCTTGTCTCCTCATAGTTTTCTCTGTTCTTTCAAGTAACACCCTTCAGCCTCACACTTTCTTACTCTCTTCAGAGTTGCTCATACACATTTAACAGTCTTCACTGCCATCCATTGCTGACCCATAGCATCCAGCTTCTGCTTACTATTCAGCTGAATGGAGCTTTCTGTGCAGTCCTCAGAGGGAGCCAGGGCAAGTCCTCAGCACTGTGCATAGTGATTCCCTGGCATCATGTTACAGTGACCACTACAGAGGTTTCTTTTCTTGCTTTCTGTAGCTATACTCAAGTTTCCTATTCATTGACTTACAGACATCACACCCTTTGCCTCTGATGAAAGCATCAATAAGCAGTAAAAAACTAGAAGCCAGGAAGCAGAAGGAAGAAAGTAAAGCAAGACAGAATAATTGGCTGTCCTGTAGAGAATCAATGCTAACCGGAATAATCAGACAGTATTCTATGAATGAGTATAGTCCACAAATCTGCACTGAACCTCATTTTACAATGAAGTTTCACACTTAAGTTTCTACACGATCTGTGGCAAAACTTCTAAGACCAGATAACCTGGTTAGTCATGATCCAATCCTATAGATCCATCAACATTTGGGGCTCAGCTGCTGCCCTACCTCTCTGAAAGTAAGAGCTGAGGTATAATTACTGTAGGATGTATATGGAACGGCCTACTGCCATACATTTTACCACTGAGTAGAATGTGGAATAAGAGTCTACAAGGGTAGGCAAGTGGTTAATATAAATCACCTCCCTTTAAACTACATTAAAGGAGGATTTCACTTACTACTTTGAATAGTCTGTGTATTAGAAACAGCAAAGCACATGATTTACATCTATTTATTTTTACCTCAAGTCTAAGTGTGTCAGAATACAAGGTCTGATAAGTAATGATGCCCTTGTATTACTGGTTCTTTATATTTTTCCTTATGTAGAATTAGGATGCAGCCTGGTACACACAAGACATGACCCTGCTGTAGACCGCAGGAAGAAGAAACTCAAGCTTTCAGGGATATGAGTGGTTTATTCTCACATTCTCTTAGTTTTCCCTTGACTCACCCCACTAGTTACCCCAATCCACAGAGATACTGTAAGGGAACCTGTGGGATTCCTCCCGAAGGAGGATCCTGTGGGCAGCCTTCCTGATTGCTGGCATTAAACTCAAACAGGTAATTAGACAGCAGAAGGGTATTAGAGCAAACAGAAATGGGGGAAAAGGTTTTATTGTATATGTTATTCCAAACAAAGATAATCAGATAAAGGCAAAGAATAGTCCAGTTTAAAAAAGAAAACAGTAAAGTAACTTAAAAAAAAAAAAGGAAGCTAGATATTAGAAAATAACCTTAAGTAAGAGGAAGAGGTTGTTGAGACAGCTTAGCAGAGACAAAAGGCACTGAAGAACAGAGTCATCCATATTCCCACACTGTAAGATAAGGCAGATAAAAGGCCAGTTAAACTATGTTCAGATTTAAAAAATAATTTAAGGAAGACAACTTGACTGGCTTGTTTGATCAACAGTGACCAATGATCATGTTTTAATTTTTCTAAAGAATATATCTTTGTGTAAAGCACATTATCAGCATTATTCACCTCAATTTTCTGTCCTTAACTGAAGCCACCATGATGTCTTTTTATTTTTATCAAGTTGTTTATTCCAGAGCTGCTAATGTTACTCTACATAAGTCAACAAGATAAAAACCATATGAAGAGATAGCTTTCTTAAAGAATTACTATGTAACATTGTATGCTTTCATAACTTTATGCTTAGTTAACAGAGATGAACTGAGACTACTCCCAAAGTGGAGTGAAATACCATTAGTCTAGTTTTTAGCATTCCAGTCACAGTTTCAGTAGCTAACTAAGTTTTTAATACTTCACTCACACGGCTTCAGTATCCAATTACCATAATCCTAAAAGTAATGCTCTGCCACAGTAGCAAACAAAATATCAATGAATCATGAACTATATGAAGTTTATAGTATCAGATTCTACTTTAGATTTCCCTAAGTATTTTATTGTTTCATAAAGGTTAATTATATTAGAATGAAGAGACCAAAAAAAAAAAAAAATTTAGTGTGTTAAAAGAAGATCTCCCATCAGAGCAATTTTGAAATTTCCTTGTCCACTCCTCCTTCCTGTTTTGAGACAGGGTCTCATGTAGCCCAGGCTAGACTTAAACTCTCTAGGTTGCTGAGGAATGGCCTTGAATTCCAATCCTTTTGCATCAGCCTAACTTCTGGGATTTACAGGTGTGAAACACCAGGCCCAGCCTGTTTTCTACTTTAGTTCTGAAGGACTGACAAAGACAATTGTTTTTGAAATTCAGGCATGCCAATAAAAAGAACACATAGTCATCAAAACCTGGACACTCTGGAAAAAATACTTAGTCTTATAACACAATATTTACTAAACTTTAGAGAACATTAAAAACAATATGATTCTAGTAGATGAAGTAAGTGATAGTCAATTCTGAAAATGTAATACACTAGAATACAAGAAGCAGCTACAAAGACATGAAGATAATAGAAGATAAATACCTTCAGTTGATTGTTAAATGAATCCATTTCTGAGAGCTTAGATGCAGTTTCCTTTTCAAGAGCATCTAATTGTTCTTTAAGTCTTTGGCATAGTTCTTCCTTTTCTAATGATTTTTTATGAAGTAAACTGATCCCTGAATCTGAAGTACAAAAATATCAAGTCAGTTTACATTTGGGAGAAGCTCTTGTCATTTCTTTTCTGCTGCTCAAAATGATGTAACTAGAGAAATGCAAAGGGCATACAAAGACACACAGGTGAGTAGAGAAGACAATACCTTTAATTGTCTCTTATAATAATGCAGTATTATTATTATATCTTGTAAATGAAGGTCCTCGAAGGAAATGGGTAGAAGTATTGGTTCTCTACTGCAAGGATTGGGACTTGAAATAATACTCCACATTAGAAAAGGTGTTTGACCAAACACAATAGGCACAGTACCACCTGCCTTACTAAATGAGGTGAATATAAGGCCGTGGCAGACAGTGTGACTCTCAAGTGTGACTTACAGTGCATACTCAGTCGACAGAGTATGCTGCTAAGGTTGCTTTGTACTTACTCATAATGATCTCAAGAACAGAGGAGTACTCACAGCAAGGACCCAACACGTGTCACTAACAGGACTATTTCATAGAACATTTTAAGGGGTGAGAAGAGAGGGTTTCACTGTACATGACTTAAGAAAATTTACACAAGGATAGAGAAACTAGGTATAAATATAGTGTTTCCTATTAAAATGAAATAGTAACATTACTATCTAAATACATATTCTAAAAGTTTGCATTTTTAAGGTATAAAAATCAAGTATAGAATTTTAATGAAATTAAACATACAGTAAAAAGTCTTCCTTCATCTGAAACCCTAACTTCTCCTTTTAAGCATTTGTACTTAGATATGTGTGTAATCTTTCAACTTCCCCTTAATAGGCGTATTACTAACTACAGCACTCTGTAACATACATTTATTTATTTATTCACTTAAATTTTTGTAATAGTGGAGATTGAACCAGGGCCTCATACAGTCATGCTAGGTGAGCACTCTATCACTGAGCCACATACCCCGTCTTGAGTTTTTAAAATTTAAAAATATATCTTATCAATTAGGAAGTGCAGACCTAATTCTGTTTCCATAGTAGTCTACCTTATGGCTATTCCATTTTAATTTAACTAATCCCTTTTTGTGGTAAAGTCCACTTTGATGGTAAGCACCATTCTACTCTTTTTCTGAATGATTTTAGATTTCACATGTGAGAACATGCACTTTTTTATTTCCATAGCTTACTTATTTAACTGAGCCTCCAGATTACCCATGCTGTGACATATGGTGCTGTTTCCCTCTTTTTAAGGTAGAATATTCCATTTTGTGTGTATGCGTGTAGACACACATTTTTCTCTACCTGCTTTCCTGTTGATGGACATCTGCTCTCACCCTTGGCTATTGTGCAGGCGCTACAGTGAGCATACATGAGAGCACACATATACCTTTGAGTCAGTGATTTCCTTCTCTCAGACCCACATTCAGATGTGGGTCATACGGCAGTTTAATTTTTAGTGATTTAAGGATTTGCCTTACTATTTTCTATAGTATCTGTACTGATTTACATTCCCACTAATGGTGTGCCAGATTTTCCTTTCTCACCAACTCGTATTTCATACCCTTCTGATGACATCTATCCTAACAGGTCTGAGGGGATAATTCAATGGTTAGCAATGGTGACCACCTTTTAATACTGACTAGTCATTTTTATCTCTTCTTTGGGGGAAATGTTTACTCATCAAGTCTTCTGCCCATTTTTAAGTTGGGCCATATGGGGTTTTTCTGTTTGTTTTGAGGATTCTTTGTGTAATTGGGTTGTATGAATTCCTTACATATTTTGGATATCAAACCCCTATAGATATATGATTCACAGATGTTTTCTCTCAGTCTGTGGACTGCCTTTTCATCTTGGGTGTTTTTTGGCTACGCAGAATTTTTTTCTTATACATATAAGGAATCTTTTATTGTTTATCTAATTTGCATTTTGTAATGACTGGAGAAACAGAATGTCTTATATGCTATTTTGTTCTTTTAAATAACTATTTTATGAATTATTCAACCAATATCTCATGCAGGCGTTTTATTTCTCTCAGAAATTTGTGAGGATCCTTTGTTTGTTCAAGTAGATATGTGTGTGCATGTGTTTTTTACATACATGCACACGTGCATGCATGTGCATTTGTATATTTATTTGCCTGTGTTTACAATCTTCATAATGAGTATGTTTAGAATTTTTTATTAAGTTTGGTTTTTTCTTTTTGTAATTTAGGTGAACTATTGAGTGTAAATTTTCCTTCTGTATTTATAATTTTCTAGCATTTATTATTATTATTATTTCTTATTTTACATATTGATCCCAGTTCCCTTTCCCTCCCATCCTCCCATGCTCCTCCCTGACACCCCCCCATCTCATTCCCCACCTACTCTCCAGGGAGGGTGAGGCCTTCTAGGAGAGATCATCAAAATCTGTCAAGTCATTTGGGGTAGGATTCTTTGTTTGATGTAGAATGACTTGTTTCATATATCTTGAGCTTTTTGATAATATAAAACTATTTTTATGACAATTCCCAATTTCTAATTATTTATTTTTGATGATTTTCCTAAACTGTTAATGAGACTGAAGAGATGGCTCAGTAGTTAAGAGTATTGGCTGCTTTTCCAGACCTCTAGAGTTTGAGTCCCAGCACCTACATGGTGGCTCACAGCTGAAATTTCAATTTTATTGGGTCCAATGCCTTCTTATGGCCACTTCAAGCACTACGCACATGTACTGCCCAGATATACATGAAGATAAAACAAACAAAAAACCCTGCTAAAACAAAAAAAGAGGATGTGAAGTTGGAGGTGAGATGAAGAGGTAGAGATGGGTCTGAGAGGAGATGGAGGGAGAAATAGAGTGAATATAACCAAGATACATTATATGAAATTCTCAAAGAATTAGTAAAAATATTATATTAAAATGGCTGCAGCGGATATCAAGGTACCTTTGTCTGTCCTCTTCCAGGAGTTTTATGGCTTATATTTATATTTAGGTTTTAATTTATATTTGTTGTTGGCTTTGAGATAGGGTCTCATTCTTTAGCCTAGGCTGACATGGACTTTGCTGTGTAGCCCAGACTGGTCTCAAATTTATGACATCCCCTTGCCTCAGTCTACAAAACTCTGGGACAGGCCTGAGTTCCTATGCCAAGCTTAGGTCCGTAATTCATTCTTAAGTGTGGGAAAAATAAGGGTCAGTTTCACTCTTTGCATTTGGTTATCTATTTCCCCTAAACTGTTCATATATCGGATCATGCTTTCCCATGATTACTTGGTATATTTGTCCATACTGTGAGTGAAAAGAAACCTTTCCTTTCTTTAGTTATTTTTTGTCAGGTATCTGCTCATAGCTACAAGATAAGTAGCTAATACAACTTATGATAATATTTTTCACATTTTGAAATTTTTAACTTACAGGGAAATATCATTTTAATGGAATAATGCTATTTTGAAATAACAATATAGTAAAACAATTATTCAGGAAGGAAACAAAAAAAAAAAAAACTTAGAGACTCACCAGGTGTGTTACTGAGCTGCATGTTTTTTATTCTTTCATTTAGTAGTTGTTTTTCAGGTACCAGATAGATCAGCTTATTTTGATATTCCTTTAGAAAAGAAAATTAGACTCTGATTAAAACAATGTAAAAGTCTAAGAATATTTTGAAAAATTTAAAACATGATTTTTTGAGACTTGGAGTAGAAATAATACATGTAGAATTATATAGCATATAATAAGAAAATGTTAAACAAATTCATATGAAGGGCCAGCTGAAATGTAAAGGTAATGGAGTGTCCGGAGATCTAACTTTCCTGCAGTATAATGGGGGACAGTTGGCAAAGAATGACAGGGGTTTCTATGTTCTAAACAGCTCGTGTAAACTGCCATGACACTCCATATTGCTTAAGTACATATCAAAGAGGAATCGAAACCTTGGGGAGAAATGGGGAGGTAAGTTTAGACCAGGTAAGAAATGGCTCTGCTGTGATGGGGAGGCCGATTATACATCCTTGCAGTAAAATGTTCTGTGAGAGGACTCCAGGTGGAGAATACTTCTAGTGTCCTGATTTTCAAATAGCAATAACTGAACCAGACTCCACAAACAAAGAAGTCCCAGTCTCTGTGAGAAACATTTAACATCCTCTCACAACAGTTCTGAAATGAGTAAGTTCAAATCAGAAATTCCTATATGATATGGTATGAATATGGGTGTCCTTCCATAATTGCAGTGCTGACACATGACTCCTAATGCAATACTGATAAGGGGTAAGGCTGTGGGAAATGATCAAACCATGAGGACTTTCCCTTATTACAGGAATTAGTGTCCTGTCTTGCTCATTGGCCCTGTGAGAGTACAGTAGACCCATGTCAGACAGTGTTAATGCCTTGATTTGCAATTGGACTAAACAGTATATAAAGATTTTTTATTAAAGTTCAAAGTGATGGATGTTTATATATAAATTTAAGCAGAACTTAGCTCACATCTAACCTATGAACTTTCTGATCTTTTCCATCATAAGTCTACTAGGAAGCCAGGGGCTCATGACTCCCAAAGCAACTACCTATTATGAAGAACTGCTGATGAGTCCTTGTGCTTAAGGACCATTCAGCTGCAGAAGACCTACCTGAAGTTCTTGTTGAAGTTGTTTGATTTCCATAATTTCCAGGTCACACTGCTTATCCAAAACTTCTAACTCAGTTTTTTGTGTTTGCTTTCTGATTCTAACGTCTTGAAGTCTGCCTGAGATCTGCTGGTGTTTTCCATTCTATAGGAACATCAAATGCATATATACAGTTTAAAAAAAAGTGCTAACAGGACATTAGAGCTTCAGAAGAAAAATACTTTTAGTTAAATTTCAAATAACACTTATGATTCATAGTCAGTCTTAGAAAAAAAAGGTCTATAATCCAGTGGGATCTGTTTTACATTAATTTATATGAAGAGTTATTATCAAGAAACAAACCATTCTCAATGCAAGATCCCATATGTTACGTGAAAAGGCACAAATACAACACACTGAATATTTTCTGAATTAAGTCTTTATAACTATCATAAACAATCTCAAAGTACATTTAATTTATTCTTTAAATGTTCTCTGGCTCCTATTTCTACTTTCAATGCTATCTTCTAATCTCCTTTAGTTAAAGGGTCCAGAAGAAACTCTTGGGTTTCAATGCTTTTCTCCTACACTAATGTTCTTTTCCTTATCCAAAGAAGAGTTTATTCTCCCTTCCTGGGAAGGGGAAAAAACATAGAGCAAAAGTTTTCAATAAGGTCTAAGATGAAAGGTGTGGTGTAAGAGTGAATTGTCACCTCACCCTTCAAGACGCATTTGTCTAATATTTCGAGAAACACACTTTAAAAAGGCAATCAGGGTCAAGAAATGTCTTTGGATGGGCCCTACTCCAGTCTAAGCAGTATAATTTTAAGAAGACCAGAAGACAGAAAGTGCACCAGAAATGCCCGTGCACAGAGAAAGACATACAAGGACAAAGTGAGGACTTATCAGGAACCACACCCTGACCCCTGGCTTCTGGTACTGCCAAATCTCTACTGTTTAGGCTTCTTAGCCCATGGCATTTTGTTATTATAGCTCTAGCAGTAACAGTAAGGTAAGGAAAAATGAGTTATCACTGATGAATGTTTGACTAAATAACATGTCTTATATTTGAAACATACAAAGTAAAAGAAACATGTTATATAAACTCTAGAGCTTATGATCTTTAACATGTGTCTAGATAACATGTCTTATATTTGAAACATACATAGTAAAAGGAACATGTTATATAAACTCTAGAGCTTATTATCTTTAACATGTGTAAGTACAGACTGAACCTCTCCAGACACCGACCCATGCTATTGTGCTGGTGCATCACCCTAAACCTTAAAGGAAAAACAGGCAATGTTAAGTAAGGTCTTTCTTTACATTATTTTTATATTTATTTACTTTGTGTATGTACGTGTGAGTGTGCACAGAGGTCAGAGAAAAATCTGTGGGAGTCAGTTTTCTTCTTGTACCATATAGGTTCTGCAGATTGACCTTAGCTTCCCAGGTCTGGCAGCAAGTGCCTTTATCTGGTCTCAAAATAAAAGATTCACCTGCCTCTGCCTCCCGAGATCGCATAGGTGAGCAGCTTGTTTTCCCCCCTTTTAAGTAACTGAACCTTTTTTATTTTCACAAACCCTGGACCGGTAATGCCAGCACTGTTCAGATAATGTCCACATTTATTTATTTAGCCATACCACTGCTTCCAACTCAAGATGGAGACTCTTCTTTTTCGAGTTCAGCCTGACAATTTCTTCTTGTTCTCTGTTCTTTTGATTGAGAAGCTCCTGTCGACGGATTCGTTCCCATTCTAAACGACGTTGTCTTTCAAGTTCCTGTTTTGCTGCCTAAAAATATCAAATTATTGTTAACTTATTAATTTAAAAAATTTGCACTATTCAAAAGCTCATGGGATGACAGTCTTTAGGACAGAGTGGCCTAAGGGTAGGTGAGGAAATTTATTTTTTTCAATGGACCCTAAGGTATCTACAAAAGTGGCTTTTATTCATCACAGAACCATCTTTTTGGTACTGTCATTCTTTTTTTTTTTTTTTTTTATAAGCTAAAGGATGGCTTCATAAGTATAAAAAGAGAAATAATTATGTCTTTATTCTTGTATCAGAGAAGAAATAATTCCATTTACAATTTTCAAAGCACTGTAATTTATGGTGTTCTATTCTTGGCCCATTAAAGCACAACCAATGTTTTTGGAACCTGTAATACTAGGCCTGCTTCTGGATTCCTCTCAGTAGCTTCACCTCCCTATGCTTCAAGTCTTCTGACTGATTCTGAGTCCTGAGCTAGCCTTCCAGTGACTTCCTGCTGTCAAATTAACTGTAGCTCCTCACTCAGCTCAGCTGTATACCAGGCCTCCTCTGATGGGGCCTCACGTGCACACGATAAGAATTCCGCAAACCTCTACCATGACACCCTTCAAGTCCTTACATACAAAGGTCCCCTCACCCAGGGAAGGGAAACCGGGTTTTGTCCAGGATAAGGATGGAAAGGCACAAGAGTGAAAAGGTCAGCCTATTCTTAGTGGATGGAATGTGTTCATTGATGAAATCAGTGACTCTCAGAGGAAAGAACTTGAAAATGACCTCTCGTCTTTCTATCTCTTTTCTCCTCTCTTCCTCCCGCTGTCTCTCCAGTTCTCTCTGTTTCTCCAAGCGTTTTTCCAGTTCCAGCTGCTTCTTCCATTCTTGTTCTTGTAGTTCTCTCTGTTTCCGCTCCCACTCTTCCTTCTCTTTCTGGGCTTTACGCTCGGCCTCCCTCTGCTGCTGGTCCATCAAGGCCTGCCGTCGCTTCTCCAGTTCCACGTTTCCTCGCTCATAGTTGGCTTTCCTTTTGTCCTCAAAAGTAACTAAAGGGAAAGAAAGGAAGGAAGAAGCCAGCAGTTGGCAGAAACACCTTTAGTCCCAGCACTTGGAGGCAGAGGTAAGAGGATCTCTGTGATTTCAAGGCCAGCCTGGTCTACAGAGCTAGTTCCAGGACAGGCTCCAAAGCTACACAGAGAAACCCTGTCTCAAAAAAAAAAAAAAAAAAAAAAAAAAAAAAAGGGAGAAAAAAGACTATGCTTTCTCCCACACCCACAGCCCACAGAACCTCTCATCTACTTAAATACATTCTGGCCTAGCAGTCACTGAATGCTTTTGCTCTCCAACTATTTCCCCTAAGAATACTTTTTAACTAAAATGTAAATAGAAAGAATTTACTTTCCTGCACAAACATTAATTTAAAAAACCCCAAATTTTAAGCATTTGAATCTATTCAAACATACTTTGACTATCTAATAAAATATTGGCTTACCTTTTCTCGGTGCCCTTTTCAAATAACCGAGGCTATGCTTTATCTGCTACATGTCATTAACTTTTTGAAGAAGGTAGTTTTCTTATTTGATTTGGTTTGCAGTGCTGGGTATCAAACTCAGGGCCTTGCATATGCTGGCAAACATTCTACTACTGATCTAGAACCCCAGTCTTTCATAACTTTTTAATAATTTAAAATAATTATATGTACACTCTTTCAATGAATATTTAAAACTTTTTTCAAAGCTAAAGATTCCATTACAAAGCTTGATCTGATTTCATCTCCCTAATGTGGAAGAAACACAGATTTTCCAAATATATCTCTCACCCCTCTTCTTTCATCATTTTCAGTTTTACTCATCACTAAAATGAATAAATAATTAAAACACCCCAATGAGCTGGTGACATAGTTTGGCAACAGATATGCTTGGGTAGATTCAATCTCCAGTAATACACACACAGACACAAATTCCAACCATTAGTTTTTCATATAACATTTATCTAAGTCTATAAACACTAAATATTTGTTTGTACTTCAATAAAATTTAAAGTAAACTCAATTAATTTTAATTGTAAAATACATAAACTAATTAAAAGTGCAAAATTAAAACCTGGCAATTTCTTCTGAGGCTCTTCTTCTTGTGTTTTCTGATATGAAGGCAGAGTTCCATTAATGGAATCAATTTGCTTCCCCCCTCTAAGAAAAATAAACAACAAAAAGCATCACATAGTTTGAGAATTTTCAGACTAAAAATACAGGTTACCAACACTTAAAATATAGTCCCAAGGATATTTAAAACACAGTATGGCCTTTTGTTATAATGTACAAAGACTTGGATGTTAGATTCAGCTGATTGCTATTCTTGGGCAAGTTTTTCTTAAGCTCTAGCTAAACTGATGAGTTCCTTCTCTATGCCAAGGTGAAAACAGCTCCTCCTGTTATCTACTCCTTCCCAGAGTGACTCATTGAGTATGAAAATCAAAGAACAGAATAAATACTTAACTCTCCTCTGAACTAAACCACAGGCTTCAATGAAGTCTGAAGTGAAATCCCCCTTAAGTGATGAGAACCACAGCTCTGCAGCTTGAGACACTTACCTAAAAGATGGAGGGACAAGCTCCGGAGGTAAAGTCAGTGGCAGGGGCTGTCCAGCTTTGGCCATGTCAGTGAGGTGCATTGCCAGGATAAACTCTTCAGCTTTCAGCTGTCCATCACCATCAATGTCAGCCAGAGTCCTACAGGAAATGTGAAAATTCACAATTTACAAAAGCCACTGATAGTTCTTACTGAGTACCTTAAGAGTATAGCTTTTGTTTTCATGAGTAATAATAATGGCAGTGTAAATGCTAGGTTAACATATTTTAGTAAAATATAAACATATACAGAAAACTAGTCATTTTCACCCTTAATTTCCATAGTCCCTCAAAGAGGGAAAACACTGACTCATTATGGCAAATGCCCATTCTGAAAAGGTGGTTTATCATATTTCAATTCACTATGTTAAAAATGAAATCATCTCTGGATCACAACATAAGTCATTATATAAAAGAAAACTACAGTGTCACCTATAAAATAAGAAGGTATACTTCAAGAGAATATTAACTTTCCAATGCCCATCTCTATGAAGCATGCAAATTAACACACAAACAATTACTTTTTCTGTCTCTTTTTTCAGAAACGATCTTCCAGAAGGATTTCTGATAATGGAGAATCTATGGCTGAAATCATTAATGGACAGACTTACCAAATAGTAGCCAGCTGAGTCTGGGACAGATTTGACTGAAGAAGGGCATTTCTAGCTTGAAAACCTGATTGAGAGAGAAAACCACAAAGAGAGGCCTCTTCAGCCTCTTTTACAACATGCCAATAATGTTGCTGCTTTCTTGGAACATTAACTGTCAAAATTTTGCACCAGGGGCCAGGTATTGAGCATTCTGCAGCAATCAAAAATAGCACTGCTCCAAAGAGTTCAGAGTCTAGAATTAGTGAGGATAAAGTGCTCCTCCATGTTCTTCTAGCAAAACAGTGCTACCACAGTTCTGAGAGCAAGGGTCAAGCCACTGGCATGGAGATGAAATCTCCAGCCTTGACCTCAACACACACGGCTCTCCCTGCATGCTCTGCCCTTGTCCCTTTGTCTTCACTGCCTCTCCTCCCACATGATCTACAAAGGCTGTCATTCCTCCCAAGACTCCTGAACACACGCTTCTTTTGTTTTCAACAAGCACTGAAAACCTGATGACTCCTACATGGCATCCTCAGCCAAAACCTCGCCTCTATACTTACGTTCCTATATCCAATCAAAAACCTACATATATGCTTCACAAGCATCTCCAAAAAAAAAAAAAAATTACATCTAAAACTTCTGTCCTCATCATATCCCTCTCCCCAACTTCACTCCAAATTGCTCTCTCTTCTCTGAATTGCATTACTGTCCATGCCATAACTTGAGACAGAAATCAGTTTTCTCTGATGCCCCTTCCTTTATCATCATTCCTTTATCCAACATAAGAATTATTTGCTGAGAGAAGAGGGGATGTGAGCCTTAGAAGGTGGGGGAACATACTTGCCTGTTGTAAGTATATACCTTGTGTATTGCCACTTCAGCATCCTCTGTAAATGTACTTAATAGTCTAAACTGAACTCAAATGTTCTACAAACACATCTGAGTCAGAGTACCAAGAGTGAGCAATGAAAAGTGCAAGTGGAGAAAATGCACTTTCAAAGGGAGCTAAGGCTAGTTGCTACCACTACCAAGCCCTGTGGTTTGGGGTTTTCATTTATTTCAAAGTTTACAAGATGAAGTCAATCTTCCTGACAGATGCCTTCCCAAATTTGGCATAAGTATGTGAAGAAGGCAATCAAGTTGAATCATCTTTCAATAATCATACATTTATAATATTCTTATGTATAAAAACACCTTCTAAATGTCTTGAATGTTAGAATTTTAGATAAGACACAAAGCATAAATTCAAGTAACAGTTTTTCAAAAGAAGTTTACATAAAAGATTACTGGTCTCATAACTATTATACTCCAGTTACCTGAGAGGTATCCACTCATGCTTTTGTCTAGACTATTAAATTTTTGCCGATACTTTAATCTTGAGGGCTGAGGAACTGCCCACTCCGAGGTCCCAGTCTTGGGCGAGTTCCCTGAGAGGGAAGCAGTTGAGGAAGTTGAGCTACAATGAAATGTATTGAAAAATTTATGTTACCAAATAAAATACATTTAATTAAACCTTATAAGACAAAGACATTAAGAATCATTCCTTTTACAATATAATGGCAATAGACACACACAACTTCACCTATTAAGAACCTATAATTCCAGGCATTTTACTGTCCAGGGCCTTTTAAGATGGCATTTCCTATCTTCCAAACACACTTAAACTATATTATTGCCCATATTTCTTACTTTGTTTAAAATATGATTCAGTGATGTCAAGAAAAATAAGGTCACAAAAGTCAACGATTACTTAAGCTACAAGACAGTATTTTTCTGGGTGAAAGGCAACTCTTCATAACTGTTGGGAACTATGATGATTTCTCTGACAGGTAATAAATGGTACATGTGTTTTCTCAAATTTTAAAAATACTACCTCAGCCAGGTGTGGTGAAGCACAGCTTTGGTCCCAGCACTTGGAAGGCAGAGGCAGGCAGATCTCTGAGTTCCAGGCCAGCCTGGTCTACAGAGTGAGTTCCAGGACAGCCAGGGCTACACAGTGAGACCCTGTTTTGAAAAACAAGAAAACCAACAACAAAGGAGAAAGCTTATCTTAATTATTTATACTTTTTCATTATAAAGAACAACCTGCATTTAATAAGCAGGGCTTATTAAATTAAAATCCACATTGAAAGCAGACAAAGTCGTCTGTGTTAAGTACTCATACCTACTAGATCCTAAATCAATCAGAGACTGGGCTTTCTGGATACTAGCACCACCAAATCCTCCCATCATCAGACTGTAAGATGACGCATGAGGCAATGCTGTGGGGAAAAGAGAGAGAGATAAAAGGGAAAAACCTGTCCTAGGCAATTCCACAAACAAGACAATCTCTGAACAACAAACATGATAGTCTCTTCCTTCATGTGTCTGAATCATTAGACACTTACTTGAAGAAGAATAAGGAATGGATAAAGGCTGAATGAGACTGGCAGTTCCATTTGGTAATGATGATGTACTAACAGAAGGCACTAGGGGGGCAGGCATCATTAAGGGAGGAACACTGGTCCCTGAAGTTGCAGAAGACAAGGGTGTTGTTATAGGTGCAACTGGAGGTAATGGCTGAGGAATGGACAGATTGGGCATGCTTCCCATCCCTAAAGATAAAAGAGAACACATTTTTCAATGGTACCAAGTCAACTATAAAATACACATTTTTATATAAAATATAAAAAACTATAAAATATAAAAAGCAAGTTACAGCACAAGAAGCAGGCCCAATGTTCATAGAAACACCATGGGCAAACAATCCCTAACATATTCCCTGAAGCGGCTTTGAACCTGAAGTGAAGGAGGTAAGCTTGTGTTCTGAGTGTAAATCATCTGCCATGGTTTACATCTGCCATGGAGCTACAGAGGAGTCCAGGCATCACTTGAGAAAGACTAAGCAATCTTTGTCAATTATTAGTAGGTACTGTGGTAGACATGTTTATGTATATGTATTATTGGCAAAGTGCCATGTATCTCACTTTTCTTTTAAGTTATACATCTACGAATTCAAAGGCAAATCTTTAAAATAAGTGATGACTTTTATTTTCTAAATACAACATAACAATATGGCCACCCAGTGATTGGTGTTTGTTTCTATAGCTGAGTACAAGCATGGAAGAATACAGTGTTTTAAAATCTACTTTCTGGTACAAAGGAATGCAGAGACATTTCTCAACACAGACACCTTATTGAATGTTCCATTCAAATGAGTGTTTCACATATAATTAATAAGAAATTGGCTAATCAAAATTATATGGAAAGTATACCAACAAGTAATTTCTGAAGAGTGCGTAAATTAACTAGGACAAAGTCTACAATTTTTGGTCTCAATTTAGATGGCTAATTAATCTTTAAATTAATGAAATTCTACTCATGTATGATTTTAAATTACCACATAAATTAAACCCCTTCAGGTGCATTTACATTTATTCAGTCATCGTGTTTTATTTATTTAATATTAAGGACACACATTGTACCTATTTCTGAGGTTCAATATGGTGTTCTGGCACATGGATATATTCTAACTGTAATTTCGTATCCACTGACCATTTCTCCTTGACCCCACCCCCATCACTTCCCTTCTGTAGCCTCTAGGATTTAGCATCCTGCTTTCTCCTTCCAGGAGAGACAGGAGACACTAATTGGGAACAGTATTTAGAGCCAGTTGTAACTAAGGAGGCAGATCATTTATGTCACAAGTAGGAGCTGTGACAGAGGATTCTGGCAAGACCAGACATGTACATTTACCTACGGCAGTACATTTAAGATCTCTTCTCTTAAAGGCATTGAAGCTTAACTTGGATATCTGAGAACTGTCCTTTTGTGCTAATAAATCCTTTCCTGGTCTCCAAGGAATCAAGCTTAACAACCAAATAAGGCTGATAAATTAATAAATACATACCAAAGCGAGCAGAGATTAGTGGGGAGAACATAGGGGGTTGCTTCATGATAGGAGGGAGAACTACAGGCAACTGTTGGCCTTGAAGCTTTAATTTGATGAGTTTCATAGCTATGGAGAACTCTTGCTGATCCATTTTCCCATCCTTGTTCAGATCTGATAAGGCCCTAAGAAAGATGAGGTGAGTAACAAGGAAACAAAAATTACTGCTGAGGTTGAGAAAATGAAAACAATGACAAAGCACTCACATGTAGACATCACTTAATTAAGTATACATATATATGAATAATAGTAAGAAATATTAGCTAGAGATAGTATCTAACAAAATGCTCACAGACCATACAGAATCTAGAGTTCACAGAGGATTTACAACAATGTAAACAGTAAGTAATTAGTCAAGACTACTGTAATTCTAAGCCTGAAATCTCAGTCATTATGGAGACTGAGGTAAAAGGATTGGTCTACAGAATGAGTTTAGGACATCCAAGTCTACATAGTATGTATATTTTATATAGGTACATAAATTCTTAAGTATTCACTTGTTCAAATAATTGAAAACACGTTTGAGACTAGCATTTTGTCTGGCACACAAATGTTCCATAAGGAAAAAGAATGAGGTAGAAGATCTTATGTATTATAATACATTAAAAACACAATTCCAGATGTTCTAAAATATTTTAAAAATATTATTTTTTATATGTATGTCTTGCCTACATGTACATATTTGTATAACATATGTGCCTAGTATCCACAGAGGTCAGAAGAGGGTGTCAGATCCCCTGGAACTTGAGTTACAGATATTTGTGAGCTGCCATGTGGGTGCTGGGAATCGAATCTAATGCTCTTAGCCACTGAGCATCTCTCCAGCCCCTCTAGAATATTTTTAAGTAGGAGCAAAGAAAGGGATGACTACTTAGGGGATCACAGATGATGAAAATAAATGAAACTATAAAAAGATAACAGAAAGAGGAATTTGAGATTTTGTCAAATTGTACAGAAATATTTTTAATGATAATTCATATATTTTTAATTATAATGAAATTAAAATTTTTTCCTATAGAATAAAACTTCAAATTATTTTCAGTCATTTATTCTTAATTAATATTCTTATTTAGCAATAGAGTACAAATGATAACAATTTGATGTCAGCTTCATATTATTTTAAACAATAGCCTATCAGAAATTTAAGTGCACTTATAAAGAAAGCATCTTACCATATTTCAGCTAAAACTGGGGCTGGCAGACCTGACTGTAAGAAAAAAGTACGGGCTTGATCACCTGAAAGTAATAAACACAAAAGCCAAGTGGTACATTAGTAAACGGAATTATCCTAATACTTATGAATAATAACAGCTAGTACAAGATGTTGACTTAATTCCTGTCATTAAAGCATATGTGAGTTATACAGATGTATATATGAAGTTATTTGCATTTTAGAACAATGTAAGTTACTACTAACATTCTATTAATCAGTGAAGAAAGAGTATGTTATTCATCTTTGAGTTCTATAATTAAAACTACCAAGTGCCAGGGAAACATATCTCCATTAACTTCCCCATCCTTCTATGTATGCTTGATGTATTTATAACAACACAAAACCCAATTCCTCTTTGCTTGGGTTTCCAGAACGAAGTTTGTAAATGTTAAGTCTTGAAGAATGAAATAATAATGCCTCCCACTAGAACATGGAACAAACTTGCTATTGAATGATGGCTTTTCTGAGCTCAGTGTTCTCCTGCGGCACCCACAGCATGCAGGGTATGTTTCCAACACTCTGTATCACCCGTGTCAGGCCCGGGAACAAAGGAAACCAAGAGAAACACAGCCATGTGCACACTGCTAGCTGTGCTGTTAGTCACAAAGTTTTGATTCAGGAATCTCAGATCTTCTAGTAACTGTGAGTGGCTATTATTAATTATTTGTAAGCAGAGTAATCAAACTCTGACAACAGGTATGGTATAGCAGGAATACAAATGACATCAGACTATAACGAATAGGAGGATGGATTCTTAAGTCAGACTAAAGACTATCAGCAGTAGTCATCTTGATAGCCTTAGGCAAACTCCACAACATGCCTCAGTCAAGGCTTTACCCTGTGTGAATACAGACACATACAGTATCTGCCCCACAGGGATGCTGTGAAGGTGAAATGCAGTAATGTACAGTGCAAAGCCCATGAACAGCATAGTGACCTTACTGTGACAATTATAGATAAAGCACTAAGATGAAGCGGCACACAATTTTTAGGGAAGGAAAGAGAACCACACCCAAATCCATTATTTTTTTTTTTGTTCTGGTGGTCTTTCTAAAAACAAGTGTGTAATAGATTGTGACATAAATACAGCAGATGATAGCTAGTATCCAACAGGTTAACCTACCAGATGAATCACTCTCTGATGGGGAGACTTACTTGACAAAGACGTGGGGTCACTGACTATAAATGACTGGTTGCTTGTGTCTGTAATTTTTTTTCATGGCCAAAACATTCCTTCTCTAATAATAGCTATGGATATTTTTCCCACTGCTTGTGTGTTTATCTAGCGAATATATACTAGCTAGTAGGCACACATATAGCTGTGGATGGCCAGGAAGATGATTTCTGGTTAAGTTGTATAATTCTGATGAATAGAGATAATACTAGGATATTTTTCTTCTCTTTTGTTTTTTGAGACAGGGTTTCTTTGTGTAGCCCTGTCTGTCCTGGAACTTGCTCTATAGAATAGGCTGGCCCAAACGCACAGAGATCCGCCTGCCTCTGCCTCCCCAGTGCCTCCCCAGTGCTGGGATTAAAGGCATACACCACACTGCCTGGCTGGATATTTTTCATTACTCAGACTACCATAGGAAAGTAATGGTATTCTTAGTCACAAAGAGCTAATTTTAGACTTCAAAACAAATTCAAAGGAAACTGGTTGTCCCTGGAGACAAATATCTGGTTGCCCCTAAAGACAAACACAGAAGGACAATTTCCCAGGTGTTTACTGCTGATTTACAGTCAGACACAGAACAACTTTAGTAGACATTAACTTTCTCAGCAACAGACTTTCTACATGTACTCCCCAACCTCAACGTTCAGCCAACTGTTTATTATTTAAGTCCCAAATTTCAATGTCACTTTCTGTCTGGGAACCCTGACCACTCAGAGCTACATGCTTACTTTACTCACTGCCTGATCAGCAAGACCTCCCTAGCCTGACAGAAACTGTGTTTGGCTCTGTTTCTTATTGTTTACTCAAGAAGTACTGTGTGACCCTGAAAATGTTTTGTTCAGAGGCATTGCTACAGTTGGAGAGAGAAGTGTGAAAGATGAAGAAGTGAGGAGAGATGTGAGAAGTGTGTGTGTGTGTGTGTGTGTGTGTGCGTGCATGCGTGCATGTGTGTATGCGTGTGCATGCATGCTGATGCAGGGAGATGTAGCTGAATGTGTAGTCAGAGAAGTATGAGAGATTAAGAAGAAATGTGAGAGAAGTATGGAGAGATGTAGCCGAGTGGGTAGAGATACAGAAGATGCAGCTATACAGAAGAGAGATATGCACAGAGGAGAGATGTACATGAAGGAAGAAGTATATACAGTTGTGTGGAGGATGTAAGTGTGCGGAGAGAGATGTGGCTGTGTAAAGAAGTATAAAGGTGTGTGGCTGTGTGGAGAATGTAACTATGTGAAAAGAGATGCAACTATGTTCAGAGACGTGTGGCTGTGCAGGAAAGAGATATATGTATGTAAAGAGATATAACTGTGTAGGGAGATTGTCAATAAAGAGAAATTATTCAAGATAAGTAAGAGAGAAGGTTACCATCAGGACAGACTGTGCTTGTTCCTTATCATCCTCAGATAGAAAAAATCTAGCACAAAGATAGAGAAGAATTTTTTTCTGAATTTTCACTGATTTGAAGGCATTCTTTATACAACTCTGGGTGTAGACTTGGGAGCTGGCCTCCTGAATTGCTGCACAATTAATATGTAGATTTCTAGGGGGAGGTCTCTGGGAAATATATCAGATAGAAAAAATAAGTTGGGGAGGATTTGGAGAGAGGGCTCAGCAGTTGAAAGCACTGGTTGCTCTTCCAGAGGACCTGGGTTCTATTCTTAGACCCATATGGCAGCTCACACATGCCTGTTAACTCCAGTTCCAGGGGATCTGACACCTCACACAGACATACATGCAGGCAAAACACCAATGCTCATAAAGTAAAAATACATTTCAAAAAGAAAGAAAAAACTTCTTGAAATAGTATTAATACATAATTAAACAGATTTCTGACCATCATTTACAACTCATGGCAAGAGCTCCCCTATGCCAAATTCAATCAACAATTAGGATAGTTTCAGGAAAAATAAATTTTTTTAAATTCTAGAGTTTTGATAGATATATACCTTATTACTTAACAAATATTTAGTAATAGATATTAAAACTAAGTGTAAGACACATGAACAATAACATAATTTACAATAAATAATATATCAAAGGATAAACACAAACCTGTTATGTAACCTCCTGAGGGTTTGAGGTTATCAAACTGTTTGTCATGCTTAGTACGCTCTTCAGAGGTGATAGCCCACATATTTGGCCCTCCTAAAACATAATGAAAGGCCAAGACATTACAGTATGTAAAAGAGCCTACTCAAAACAGTTTATCTACAAGAATGCAAAATCCTAACATACAGATTCGAATCTAATCAACTATATACAGCAACCCTACGGCTTTTCAGTCATTCAGTCAGTTGACATTTATTGAATAATAACTATATACCACTCACAAGAATGAGGTATTACTTGGCAATAAAAAGATTAAAGCTGGGCAGTGGTGGTGTACTCCTTTAATCTCAGCACTTGGGAGGCACAGGCATGTGGATCACAGAGTTTGAGGCCAGCCTGGTCTACAAAGTAAGGACAGTCAGAGTTACAGAGATACTCAGTCTTAAAACAACAACAACAAAAAATGATTAATGTATTATTCTCATTCTCAAAGAATTCATACCTAGAAAATAAGTACCACCATGTACTGTGCTAACTGTGAAGGATTCTGAAAAGAAGTTTGACAACAGCTGTGGGATTGATTCTAAGTTAGAAGCATCAGAAGTAAGAAATAGGAAAGATTAAGCCCTAAGCAGAGGTTGGAATCTTCAGTACCTCACCATGTGCCCAGGTGGCATAAGAACACTTTGTTCACACAAAAAGTACATGGTTTGAGAAAGTGAATATGCAAAATGCTCTAAGTACACTAAAGAGGCCACTAGCTAAGATAATGTGAGTATGAGCATGGAAAGTGGCAAGAAAGAACTAGCCTGAATTAACCCAAAGAGTCATTCTTTTTTCCTCACCACTGGGGACTTAACTTAAGGCTTCCCTGTACTAGGACACTGTCTACCACCAAGCTCTAACACTAACCCTCTCTTTCAGACTCCCTCACAAGGTCAGGGCAGATGTTACTTCCTTCAGGAGGATACTGACTGACATCACTAGGTGACAACAATTGTTTCCTCTTCCATATTCTCAAGATAGATTCATGCTTCTGCAGGGCACTCAGAAAGATGTGGAAGCTTTCTGAGATCCATCTGCTTCAGCAGACTCTAAGGCCTGGGAGCAGGAGCTTTGTGCATTTATCTTTCTATTCCAAGAACCAGCTGAGTACCAGCAAAGAGCAAACCTTAAGAATGATTCCTGAATAGATGTCTAAATCAATCAAAGAGGGAGCAGGCGGGGAGGTGTTTCCTACATAGGTCAGGACTGGAGGAAAGGGAACACTCACACCACTTTTCCCTCTACCTTCCACATATACTGATCAGAAGCCTTCTGAAGGAGTCTTTGAAAGCTTAATATGTTCACCTTGGCTAATAAGCACCTATACATCACTTTCAGTTTACTCAACATCTGTCAACAAGGAACCACATGTATTTAGACACACAAACTCATATATATATCTGCTGTCCACATAGTAAAAACAGCTGTGTTGGAAAGGCAATTTTCAAGAAAACCAAAGGCCTATTCTACATTTTAAATGCTAAAATTGATTTAACACATTTTTCTTAGCTCTAAATGACTGAATAAAAAAACTATAAAAAGAAGTTTAATGCCTTGATCATATGTTGATTTTTCTTTCTTATCAATTATTCTCCTATACTTTTATAACTTTTGTTTCACTTTGTAATTTGAGCAAATATCAAAATATATTAATATCTCTCTTTAAAAAAAAGAAGTTTAAGAGGTGGAGTTAAAAATAAAGAAATCTGTTGAAAAACTAAGGATCTAAAGCAGATAAACCCTCACACTTGTGAAACAAACACCACATGTGTAGTAAAACTTCCTTTGCCATATCAGCTTATTTATCATAGATTGAGCATATTATCCATACAATATGCAATATACCTACAATAAAATAACACTGAACATAATCTTTCACCTATTAAGATTAGCCAAATAAACCAGGAGGTTAGTTTGTGAGGATGACCTAAAAACAAAGTATAATGACATACTCATGTAAAAATTCCATTAAAAGAAGTCGTGATGGGAAAGAAACTGTATATCATAGAACTTATTTACTGTGTATGACTTTGGAAAAAAAAAGATGAAAATGACAACAAAGGATGAAAACAGCCATGAGACCTGATAAAGTCACTCACTAACTCCACCACAGGACACTGCAAGTTAGGGTACTATTATGGATAAGGAAACTAAGAGCAATGGTGGAGGAGTAACTTGCTTAGATAATACAATAAGTAGCTGGGTTTAGAACTTGGGTAGTTGAGGATTACTTGAGTGGTAGAGCGTGTGCTGAGCAAACACAAGGCTATGGGTTTGGTCCCCAGCATGAGACAGACAAAATGGAAACTGAGGCTAGAACTAGGGCAGCCTGAACTCCCTGAACTGTATGATCTCCCAGTACACATGACAATATGCTCTCAACTGTAAGTGCCACCTCTGTAGCCTAGGAATACCACCTAATCCATATTGAATATGCAATAAACCTATGTATGATAAGATAATGGCAGGAATGACAGAACAAAGTATAATGACTGACATTATGAAAATTCCATTTAAAAAACTCACTACTTTTGTATACTAACCTAAAAAATGAATTAAAAAATGAAAATGGGCAAAAAAAAAAAAAAAAAAAAAAAAAAAGTCTCATTGTATAGCCCTGCTTGGCCAGGAACTTGCTAAGAAGATCAGACAGCCTCAGATTAAACAGAGATCCACGTCTCGTCTCTGCCTGTGATTAACACATGTGCCACCATTTCTGGCTATGGTACTCTTTTATATACAATTATCTTTTCAACTTTTCTTGGATGCTTGTCTTCATAATAGGAGGCTCAAGCAGCCTGTTAATATTTGCTGCTTAATTTCTCATGACTCTAAGCAACAACCATGATCCCTTCATATTTACTCATTCAATAAACAATGATGAATACATGAACCCTCTTTAAAAGTCACAGCCTTCTTAATATTTAAGACCCCACCACCAAAAAGACCACAAACAATAATTACTATTATTATGATTAACAAACTCTGTAGAAATGAAATGCTCAGTAAGTTTGTCAGGACATGGAATAACTTTTAAACATGTTCGCTTTAAAATATTAAACTTAAATATTGATGTATCAAGAATTTTCTAGAAATGAGGTAATTTCAAAATGAAAAAATTCAGCAATGTCTGTGATTCAAAGCCAATTTTTAAACAGTTGATACAATTCTAATTTTCTTACTTAGAATGTATCACTAACATAATCTTTCAAAGCGCTAACTATTTGATATTCTGCACCTGGAAGGAAGAAAATCTCCCAAATTTAGCCTATTTTTGTAAGCTTTATTGAAAGGCTGAATAACAAGATGGGGGTTGATGTCCAATATTTCTATGAAAAGCTAATGACCACTTACACTGTCTGATAATTGTGTTAGGAATCCATCAAAATTCCACCCATACCCCAACTCATCACTAAACTAAAGATGGATTTTCAGAAAGATTTCTCTTGTTTATGTTCTTCTTGTTATCAGCTCTGTGAAACACAGTCATAAAACCCAGGAAGAAGGACAAGTCCTTCATTATAGAGAACTAACTATATGCTAGTCAGTAATACCATCCCTGTCTTCATGTGTGTCGATACACATACACATCTATAAATAAAAAGCAGACATAAAGAACACAGCTAGGTAGCATGTCAGGATTACAATTCTAAATGTAAGTATGTCAAACAAGCTATATTTATATACAATAAAAACAAAATTTTATGACACAATTGGATGATGGTGTACAGAAGACTGCAGATAGACCCATGTCTATCGCCATGCACAAAACTCAAGTCCAAATGGATCAAAGACCTCAACATAAATCCAGCCACACTTAACCTCTTAGAAGAGAAAGTAGAAGGTACCCTTAAACAAATTGGTATAGGAGACCGCTTCCTGAGCATAACTCCAGGAGCACAGACACTGAGGTCAACAATTAATAAATGGGACCTCCTCAAACTGAGAAAGCTTCTGTAAGGCAAAGGACACAGTCGACAAGACCAAACGGCAGCCCACAGACTGGGAATAGATTTTCACCAATCCTACATCTGACAAAGGGCTGATCTGCAAAATATACAAAGAACTCAAGAAACTAGTCAACAAAACACCAAACAACCCTATTAAAAAATGGGGTACAGAACTGAAGAAAGAATTCTCAATAGAGGAAATCAAAAAGGCTGAAAGACACTTAAGAAAGTGCTCCACATCCTTAGCTATCAGGGAAATGCAAATCAAAACAACTTTGAGATACCATCTTACTCCTGCCAGAATGGCTAAAATTAGAAACCAATGACAACTCATGCTGGAGAGGATATGGAGAAAGGGGAACACTCCTCCACTGCTGGTGGGAGTGCAAAATCATACAGCCATTTTGGAGATCAGTATGGGGGTTCCTCAGAAAAATGGGAATTAGTTTACCACAGGACCCGGCAATCCCCCTTACAATACACCTAAGGGCACTCTGCTTTTTGTCCTCCAGTCTCACACATTAAGCAGAATATACCTTTAGGCTATTCTCAACTGTTCAGTGGGAAGCACATATTCCAGATACTACCAAAAATGCTTCAATAGAAATGTGGAATTTATACGTAATACTAATAAGAAAACACATGTACTGCTCTGAAATGCTCAGTGTTTTCAACCAGAATACTTCAAGTTTTACATTTTAAAAGTCAAGGAAAAATAAGTACAAAAATGTTTTAAACAACAGATTCACAACCACAACAAAAGCCCACCACATCCTCTCATCCTACCATTAGCACAAAGTCACTTACCATTCATAGCTGTGGGAAACTGAGCCATCATGGTCCTGAATTTCTCTTGCAGCTCTCAGCCATCTGCAACATGAAAACATGGTGCCATTGGTGTAACAAAGACAGATCACAGCTTAGTGTTAAGCTGTAGGACTGTCTGTCCCCTTTAGCTCACAAGTCCCACAAAAACAACACAGTTCCTGTTGCTGCTGAACAGGCAGAATTCACAGCTGGGGATGAGGAGGGGATTCTGAGGGCAATGGTGCTGCCTTTGGTATGCAACCATTTAAAAGAAACAGTATATGCAACAGCAAATGCAGAATAAAGAAACTCTGGGCATTAATCACTATATCTATAGAAATAAATTCAGGAGAGACAAAAGGCTGTTATGATTAGGTAAGAATTGATATAAGGAAATCAACTGTATAAATTAAGTATATAATAACATGGAGGTTGGACAATGGTGGCTCACACCTTTGATACCAGCACTTGGGAGGCAGAGGCAGGTGGATCTCTGAGTTTAAGGCCAGCCTGGTCTACGGAGCAAGTTCCAGTATAGCCAGAAACCCTGCCTCATAAAAAAAAAAAAAGAAAAGAAAAGAAAAAGAAAATCATAGAAATCCATAATGTTGCTTTAATCCCTAGCAAGAAATATATCTAAAATAAATGTAATACTGCTTTTTAATTAAGCTCTACAGGTTTAAAAATAGTCTAAAAAGAATGGCATACATAGCAAAGCACACAGACAACATAGAGGTACAATTTAGAAGTAATTATCAAGCTGGGTTCTGGTAGTGCACTGAGTAGGCAGAGACAGAAAGATCTCTGTGAGTGTGAGGCCAGCCTGGACTACAGAGTGAGTTCAAGGACAGCCAGAGCTACACAGAGAAACTCTGTCTCAAAAAAACCAAAACAAGAAAAAAAAAGTAATTAGCAAAAGCCACCGTAATTATTAAAATACATTTATGTTCATTTATACAAGTGAATTGGTAAGAAAAGGGTCTTTGTAGCTAACAGTCCTAGGTTCAGACCTACTTTGCTCTATTACTAACTGTGACCATAGAAAAGCCTTAGATTCCTTGTCTACAAAAATACTTTGGATCAATATTTGTTTTAAGTATTATACCATCTAATCAATACACTGCCTGACATACAGTGTGTATTCACTAAATGACTGCTACTCTGTACACATCCAGAGAAAGTATCATTATGACACCCCCATTCACTATTTAACTATAAATAAACACAAAATTCAAAATTTTCTCCAAGAATCTTGAAAATAGGACTAGTCAGAGACAGTTTAAAATGTCACTCATTCCTCACCTAGCTATCTAACCAAATAATTTAAATATTAATAGTTTTAGGATTTCCCCCCCCCCAAAATACTTGGGTTAAACAAAGCATCCAAGAAAGGTTCACATGAAGCTATCACCAGAAAAACTGGCTGTCAAAAGTACAGTTCCAAGGAACCAGAACACTAGTGAATTCAGTATGCTAGCACCCTATGATAAGGATCAAGTCCTCTAGTGACTTAGATATATATGGTTATATTTCATATTCATTTAGTGATTCCTGGTAACAAAAAAAAAAAACAAAACAAAAACAAAACCCTGGTACCATAAATCCAATTAATTTATTGACAAAGGGAATTGACAGCTTATTTTCCTCCTACAGAGCAAACTAATTTATCTATTACATGTGGTGAGCAATAGGAGAAGTGATTAGAGTGGCTAATGGCAAAAAGCATCCAAAGACAGAACTGAGCCGGAGGGATGGCAAACCTCCACAAAGGCTCACATGGCAATTTCACCCTACATTACCTCCCATCAAAACACACATCCTTTCTTAGCTGACAACAAGCTTTATGGCAGTGGAGTTATTGTCATTTCTCATGCTTTTACTCTTTCTGGGTAGGAGCAACCATGAACATGTTGGTTTTCTTTATTCCTTTCTTACAAGATAAACTCCAAGTATTGGAGTTGTTTACAAAAAAATAATGCCAAAACTCTGGTGGGTCCCTGGAATTCCTACAGAAAGTACTGTGTTGAGCCTTATGGGATGAGTAAGAATCAGTTATAGTTAGAAGGTTAAAATCTTGAATTTAACTGAAGCAGACAGGTGTTGTAAAGGGTTTTATAGAGAGAACAAACATTTCATTTAAGATAGACAAACAATTGTGAAGAAAAGGCGGAAGCAAGGAGCTGAACTAGGGCAAGCTGAGAACAGAACCTGGCACTAATCTACAATAGGGGCCGTGGGAAGAGACAGAAGAGCTAGAAAAACAGTAGTATTCAAAAGAAGCAGAACTCACTGACTCTCTGGAAATGAGTGACGATATAATAATCAGAAACAAAGAGACAACTCCCAGAATTATAGTCTTTGAGGTTGGGAAAATGGTGGCATAACTAGCTAAAAAAGTCAACACCAAAGGAAGCTCAACTACTCATGAGTACAACTTCCTTAAACACGGGACAATTCTACAAATACATTTTACTTCCTCCATGCATAAGCAATATAAGAGAAAAATAAGATGTCTACCACAAAGTAACTATCTACTCAGATGTGCACCAAACACTTACAGTTTCCTGTAATATACAAGTTTTAGGCATGGGAGAAAGCTTGTCCAAAGCATTACATATAACCTACTATGTAGCCTTCTAAAGTACTAAACACAGTGTCAGTGACAACTAAAACAACAGACAAACCAGGAACAGAATCCATGGACAGAAAGCCTTTAATTGGTAAACCTACAAACCATCTATATAGAACTTTTGGATGGGTATCATGTACGCCATGGAGATAACAAAAGGCCATATGGTTGATATACAACTATCAGAGTAATGATCCTGAAATAAAATTAGAGAATAATCAAATAATACAATGGACAGGGAAGGCAAGGCTACTGGTATTACAGAATCTTTTCCACCTTGTATGCACAATTTAGCTATTCATTCATGCATGCGAGCACCATACATCGGCATTTATACATGTATAAAGCATTTGCTGACTTCAGTAGCATCTGTGTAGTGGGATATTCACTTTGTCTCCTTCTGTGGCACTGACCACGCCCATTGGGGGGTGGAGCCATGGGCGGAAGTGACCTGTGGAAGGAGGTCGGAGGGGGCCAGGAAGGCGCTCTCTTTCTGGCATGACTCGGACAGGAGAGGATTGGGTTGAATTTCCTGGTGTTCATCTGTCTAGGTTGTAAGTTATTTCTCCCTGAATAAACATCTATTCGGCCTATTTGTTTATCCTGATCCTTATTTACCGCAATACATCTGATTATGGTATTACAATTTGTTGGAATCAGTAAGCCTTTAAAGCATACCCCTGCATCTGTTTTAATTACATTAATTTTCTGTCCCATTTTAGGATCATTTAATTGTACCATGTTTAACAAGTTTCCTAGCTTATTAGAAGACTTGGAAAAAAATTATAATTGGGGCTGGAGATGGAGCTCAGAGACAGGGCACTTGCCTAGCATGTACAATGTCTTGGGTTCAATCCCCAGTGTTTCATGAGAAAAAAAAAAATATAACTGAAATTTTGAAAAACATGATAGATCATATAAGTCTGTTTTACATTTTTTTAAATAATTGCTAACATTTGCTTAATGATTTATATTAAGATAACACACCTCTATTAATAACCTACCATGTATAATGATCAACTAATATTCACTAAGAATCCAATATTCCAGTTCTGCACATAAAGCTTCAGATACCCAGGTGCTAGGTACCCTGTAATACATTCCTGCAAAATCCTTACAAGGCAGATATCTTACTCATTTCACAGACAAAGAAATGGAGAGGTTAAATTACTTGCCCAAATTCAGTGTCATGAGACATTGTGGAGATTCCAAGCCTATCTTATTCTAGAGCTTATGAACTTCTCCGTGTAGGTTTTATGGTGCCTCTCCCTCTCTTAAATGAATATAAGGGTGATGAAAAGGTCCTATGTTCACACAAGCAGCAGGTGAACTTAATGTTAAAACACTTTAAGGGAAAAGAAGAGCCTGCCCTGGCTGTGCAACATTGAAGGCTGCCTCAAATACATGAGGAATGCTGATTGTTTCTGGCCTCTTGGCATAAAACTCTGAGGAGAAGAGTAAAATCAGCTTCACCTCGGTTACACTCTTCATGGGTGTTCAACAATCACCCTGTTCTGCTGTGTAGAGAGGACAATGTGCAATGACGGCACATTGTGGTCATGATCTGAACTGTTAAATACCATGGAGAACTGGCAAGACTCCTTTGAAGAAACCCTACTTGGTGGAAAACAGGTATACTCTTTGACTGAATTTAATCCAAATGCAATCTAGAGGAGTCACCAAATATAATTTGGGGATTGAGAAAGTATGTGTTCCTGACAAGAGAGAAAAGTGGAACTGCTCCACCTAAACTCAGAGACCTTTCTACAATGGGTTTTAATGACCCAGGAAAAAACGATGGCCATTTAAAATTAAAAGTGGCTCAGTACAAGGTAGGGGTTTTGTTTGTTTAGAAGCACACAATTATAGAAAGGAAGAATTACAGCCATTTAGTCAAAAGCCCACCATTTTCAAGATAGGAAGACTAAAAGAGTTTTAAAGTAGCCCATAAGTTAGTGAGCAAAAATGGACTTAGAAACCACACATCTCCAGTCCAGAAGATTGCTTGTAAATGGTGCCCCAATCTGGCCAATCAGGTCACCTGGAACTTTAACAATTCTATAGATAACCAGGATCAGCACTTGAGATTGAGTCAGTAGGAGGTCATTATGTAAATCAGGAGAACTGACAGGGGATGTCCTTCTGTATATGTTTCTCTTATTGGTTGATGAATAAAACACTGATTGGCCAGTAGCCAGGCAGGAATTATAGGCAGGGCTATGAGACCAGGAGAATTTTGGGGAAAAGATGCAGAGAGTGAACTACAGCAGAGATGCTGCAGAGCTGCTGAGGAAGAAAGGGGACCGGGCATCACTGGTAAGCCCAAGACCATGTGAAAATACATAGATTAATAGATATGGGTTAATAATTAAGAGAGAGCTAACCAGTAAGAAGCCTATGAGATCAACCAGTTTATAATTAATATAAGCCCCTT